TCATGTTGGTGCTCAAAAACTTTTGGATTTCGGAGCATTTTGGATTTCAGATTTTCAGATTAGGAATGTTCAGCCTGTATTTGCTATGTAAAGTGAGAAAAAAAAAAATCCTCACCAAAAGGCAATGTAAGTGATTTGATCTTCACTTAATAGTTTTGTCATTGTTTTTAAATTATAACTGACTATACAGATTTTGTTTTTAATATCCATAAAACCTTTATGAAAACCTGTGTGGCAACATTTTTAGATTGTTTTCTGTATATTAACTCACGTTTCTAGGGTAGTTTACATAGGAAGCTACTTTATTGTTGGGTTAATTTTTTTTTCAGTTCTAACTGTATTTTTCACAGGTACATATGCATAATGCTAAACTCTTCTGTGAAAGCTCCTGTGATTTCTTTTTTTCTTTGCTTTCCATAGAGAGTTAAAAAGCCTTTTCTATTATGAGAGAAGATATTCTTTGTAATTTGAAAGGAAATAAATCTTACTGCTAAAAAAATAAAGTAGCTTAGCCGAGCACAGTGGCTCATGCCTGTAATCCTAGCACTTGGGGGCGGCTGAGGCAGGCAGATCACTTGAGGTCAGGAGTTCGAGACCAATCTGGCCAACACGGTGAAACCCCATCTTTCTCTACCGAAAACATAAAAAATTAGCCGGGTGTGGTGGTGTGTACCTGTAATCACAGCTATGCAGGAGGCTGAGGCGGGAGAATCACTTGAACCCGGGAGGCTAAAGTTGCAGAGAGCCAAGATCGTACCACTGCACTCTAGCCTGGGTGACAGAGCGAGACTCCATCTCAGAAAATAATAATAATAATAATAATAATAATAATAATTTGCCGTATTTTCCTAAATGTGAATTAAGTACTTTTGCTATAAGTCTAGTTATTACGTTCAGGCTGCTATTATAGAATTTTCTTTGAAGAATGATACATGTCTTTGGTTAACCTTTGTATTATCAAGTGTATCAAATTTATCTAGAATAGAGCATAGCTGTATGTATTACCTAGAGGCTTAATAAACCTTCATATAATGAGTAATTATGCATTGGGCTAAAATCTGTAAAACCTTTTCAGATTTTCAATACGTATGCCTACTTCCTTAAATACTCGAAATTTTTAGATATTTTACTTTTTTTCTCGCTGTTCTTTGGATTATGTACCTTTGGTATGTAGCGTAAGCTGTAGATCCTATGTACAATTACAAAATGCGTGAAGTTAATACTCCCTTTTCTCTGTGTAGCTTGTGAAAATACAAATGATATAAATATAGAATAAAAATGCGATGGTAACTTCCGTGTGAGAGAAAACTAAGTACGAAATTCTGTTCTTACATATGAATCCTCCTATTGTTAAATACAATGTGGAAAAAAAAGTTTTTTAATTTTTAATTTTCCATCTTCAGCTTATTTTTAGCTATATGCTTTTTGGCATTTATATTTACTATGGAAAAATTAAAAATTAAAGAACAACTTTATGTTCCTAAGATGATTTAATTGTGTGAACTCAACTATACTCCATGAAAGAATGATCTAAAACATAATGTTGGCATGACTTAACCTTTTAAAAAGGGAGAGTTTAAAAAAAGATAGAGGGAGTGTAGCTCATTAGTACCTGAAGGGACTGACTATAACATATGAAGCTGAACTTGTAACTTTGATTTCCTATTCTTTAAATATAATATAATTGTTTAGTCTAAAGAATGTATGTTTTAATTACAAGTATATAATATTTCCACCTCCAGTGCAGCATATTAGTTAGAAATTTAAACCAGTGCATGTAACTTAATATAAATTAACTTAATCAACTTCGTTGAAAGTACTCAGAAAGCCCTAAAAAATATAAAACAATGATTCCCACCACCTACCCTGCAAAGGACCCCAATACCAAAAGGTATTACTATAGAGAGTTGAAATTTAATGGACTTTTTCTGTTTTTTATTAGAAGTCCTTTTGGATCCAAAGTTGCATTGATGCAGGATAAAATGCTTTGAGGTTTGATTAAGAGAGAGTTGGTAGCAAGAGGACCTAAATTTACTACACTAGAATAAATTTCTGTTCCTCACCTCTTATTTCCACTGACCATAAGCATTTATTGGTATTGATTTCTTCAGAATTATTTTTGTGATCTTTTGCAAAAAGAAACATTGCAGTCTGTTTACAGGAGGTTTTAGGTATGAAATGTTAAAACTTTGACAGAAAAAAACCTGTCATTTATTTAGACTCTGTACCTTCATATGTTGTTCTGAAAGGCTTTTGTATTTTCTGAATAACTTACATATTTTGATATGGTATTTTACCAATAGCATTAATTTACCTATTTTTTTTCTTCTTGCATATTTTCACGAACTGGTTGCCTTATCCAACTTTTTTCTTTCATTGTTTTATTTTTATATTCACCGTTCATTCATTCATTCATTCATTCAACTTTTGGGGTTTTGTTGGTAGTTACAAATTAAATGTTTAATCCTATTATCATATAGCTTACTTTGAATAAAACATGATAGATTATTAAAATTGGTATGAAGTATCTCTACTTTATGAAACAGAAAATGTTTGGTACAAAACTTTTTTTCCATATTGCATATAACAATAGGAAGATTCATATGTAAGAACAGAATGTTGTACTTAGTTTTCTTACACATAGAAGTTGCCATCACATTTTTATTAGATGTTTATGTCATAGTTGGCTCTGTGCAAGAGGCTTACATAGAGAAATTAATAAAAACAATACGTTGGGCTCTGTCTTCATAAGGATTAGATTTTTTAAAAATACCAATGAGGAAAGACCCAAATGTCAAATAGTGGTATCTTCTCCAAGTTTTTTTTGTAACAGTCCTTGATCTAGCCTGAAATTCATGCAGCAACTACAACCATTTTTGGAACACAAAGCTTTTCTTTTTGCATCTCCTTTAGTGCTTTATAATGGACAGTAAAAATAAACGAATATAACTAACATAATTTTTTACAGCGCTGGTGCATTAGTATTTTAAGGGGCCAGGAAATATATAGGTTGAAATGAATTATTTCAGCTAAAATTTAAGAAGTATTTAAGAGACACAGTTGGTGAAGTTTTTACATGTCAAAAGAGATATAATTTCCCTTTTATCAATTAGACAAATCTAGAACCCTTAATGTAACTGCTTTAAAGTTGACAATAAAATGTATTTTTTAGGTATTGGAATACTGATAACTGAATTTCTAAATTGTTCATGTTTATTTCATAGTAATGGTTTGGTTAACCATATGTCTAATCAGAAAATAATCAAGTAGAACACACATCCGATTTTTCTGCCATACTGTTTTTTAAAAAATAATTTCAACTTTTATTTTAGTCGGGTGCATATGCAGGTTTATTACATGGATAAATTGCGTGTTGTGAGGGTTTGGTGTACAGATTATTTCATCAACCAGGTAATGGACATAGTACCTGACAGGCAGTATTTTAGTCCTCACCCCCTTCCCATCCTCCCCACTCAAGTAGGCCCCAGTGTTTATTGTTCCCTTCTTTGGATCCATGTGTACTGAATGTTTACCTTCCACTTATATGTGAGAACATGTAGTATTTGGTTTTCCTGTGTTCATTTACCTAGGATCATGGCCTCCACCTGCATTCATGTTGCTGCAAAGGACACAATTTTCTTCTTTTTTCTGTCTGCATATTATTCAATGGCATATATGTACCACATTTTCTTTATCCAATCTACCATTGATGGACACCTAGGTTGATTTCATGTTTTTGCTATTGTGGATAGTGTTCATATGAACATATGAACATATGAGTGCATGCTATTTTTTATAGTCAGGAAATTGAAAGGTAATTAGAGTTCAAAATTTAAAACATTTTAATTATCACATATAAAAATGAAGACATTAGTTTGAAATAGATTACTTAGCACTAAGTATCATTGCTTTACTTATTCATTAATTCATGAGAAGGTATTAAGCATATACAATTTGCCAAATCTTGTGTGGGACACTTAAAAACAGAAAGATGTTTAGGACACAGTACCTTCCCTGAAATAGCCACCAGGCTAGTGGGGAAGATAAATAAGTGCATAGATCTTTATGATTTAATGTGACAAACGCTGTGCTCTGTGCACCCGGAGATCAAAGACTAACTGTCCATCTTAGTCGTAGAGGGATAGGTTTGCATGGAAATTATTTGTGTGCTGAGTCTTAGAGGGCATTAGAGTTTCCTTCTGATGCTGGCATTAAAGGACAGAGAATGATGCATGTAATTGGCTGCAAGATAGTATGGCATGATGTGAGAACTCGTGGGGGTAGATTCTCCAAAGGAAATTGGGTGCTGAGAGCATCAGGATCTTTATACTGGGGTTAGTTTTCTATACTTCCTCTAGACATCTTTTTTGATTTCGGCATTTGCCCAAGCAGTTTAATACTCACTATACTAATTGTATAGTGAGAATTTTGATGCAGTTTTGTCATTTATTGAATTAACACATACTGAGTGCTTACTGTGGGCTACATATCTTGCCATCTGTTTTCCTTTAAAATGTTTCCAACTTAAGTGCTAAATGTTGCTGTTCAAATTCACATCTAAGAGTAAAGGAATAGAAAGTCATTATGATGCTTTAATGTGGTGGAGAAATCAGTGATGTATCCCTAAACTTGTAGTAATATGAGGCCCAAAGTCAATCTGGTTACTTAGAGTCAGACACTCCTTTGAGACTAGAACTAGGACCCAAGTCTTGAACTCATATTCTGTTAACCACAGTCAGAGGTATGTATGTAATCAAGTAAGAAGGAGTAATTCTAAGGAACTCAAACATTCTTCATGCTGCATTGCATTCAGGTGCTGCTTGTTAAATTTTTATTATTTTTAATAAAGATAAATTTAAAGCATTCTATGATTTACTCCCCAAACTGGTACATATTAAGGGAAGTGGTGTTTAAAAGATGTACTTTTACCACAGTTGCTGGGATTAGTAATAAGTATTATTAGTTGTATTTCCTGATACTCTCATACTTTCTTTTTACAGACAAATCGATGGTAAACCAGAGGAGCCTTCAGTAACATATGCAACATACCGAGGCCCAAGTCACATTAGGAAATATTTAAAGCAACAGAGGGGCTTGGCAACTGTGAATACCTTGGACAGAGAAAATGAAAGTTCTGACTCTAGTATAAACAGACACATTGACCCTGGAAGTGAGATTGAAGCTGGGATACTGCCACTGTTGTTATCAGCTAGTACAGACTCACCTATGAAAGGAAATCTACTTGAAGGCCCATTAGAAGACTCTGATTGTAGCAAAACAAGTCTCAACACAGAAAGTTCTTTGACAAATAACCCAGAACTGCAGAATATTGCCTCTTCCAATAATCTTTTAAATAAAAATGCTTGGGAGGGTATTGAGAGAAATAGGTCATCCCCTTCTTCTGTGACGAACTCCAGCTACGATGGAGAATCTGACTCACAGCACCATTTAAGTTGTGAACCAGTTTCTCAGACTGACAGAAATTTGGTATGTTCAGCATTGTTCACAGGAAGTAGCAGTAGCAATGTCACTTGCAGCCCAGATTTTCAGAGAGTAACTACAACAGAAAATACGATAAAAGAAAACAACACTGTGATGAGTAATGGGACATTGGTGCAAAGAGAGGAGCTTGTTGAGCCTCAGGGCCCTGCTATTTCTAATTTCTCTTGTACCAAATCTGATGGGAGTGACACTACTGAACAGGAAAGTACAAATTTGCCAAGTCCAAATAAATCAATTAGGCATGAAGATCTGCAGTTGCCAGAGAGTGAGTGTTCTGACAAGCAAACCATGGATAACTCATCAAAGCAAGCTGCCACTCACACCAGTGTCGTTGCTCTTCAGAGACATGCTGTGACAAACACAGAACTTGTAAATGAAGGAAAGAGATTGTCTGCCCAAGACTCACAGAAAAATGTGGTTGTTAGAGAAATCAGGCAAGAAACAGAAAGTGCCTCAGCTGGTGAATCCATAGCTTCAAGTCATGTAAAAGCTCCAGAAGATAAAATTGAGTCATCACCCAAAGATACTGACCAATACTTTGAAACCAAAGCCAAAAAGCTTGATTTTAGGTCCCATGATAAAATTCCTCATATTAGAATGAATAGAAAAGACCTGACCTCCTTAAATTACATCAGTGAATCAGCAGTTGTAGCATGCTTAGTAAATAAAAATGCACCTGAGTTGAAATTTGAACTTAATAGAAGTCACATTTCAGAAACTCCTCTTGACTCTGAGAGTCCTCAACAAACTAAAGTATCACCTGATGCTAAAACATGTCTTAGCCTTGACTGTAAAAAACTAAATTTCAATATTTCACCTCCTACCTTTGTTTCTGGAGTTGGGATGCTGAGCAAGTTGGATATTCCTGATTTAATGAATGAGGGTTCTCCTGTGCCCATTGAAACTGGGAATGTCAACCCTGTTGGTATTTCCTGTCAGCCTAGTAAGTGTAAAGAAGAAAATGTGAAAAACCATGTTGAGGCTGCAGGCAGGAAGAGTCCTCCTCTTTCCTTTTGCCTTGAATATACATCTGCAATTTTTGAATCCAAGGAAGTTCTTTCTAATAGTGAAAAATGCCAGGTTCTTCCAGGTTCTGAAGCCAGTGGCCCTCACTTAACTGGGATGGAGCTATTGAGCTTTGACTCTGGAAACCTCTCTAAGGATTGCAGTTCCATTTTATCTCAAGACCCTAATAGAGTAGAGTTAATGTCTTCAAACACTAAAGCAAATATGAGCATAATAGAGAAGTCTGATTCTCTTTCCTTGGAAGCCAAAACTGCTAACATTGTATCAAAAGCTGAAATTGATGGTCAGAACAATGTTCCTGTGGAGTCATATTCTGGAAGAGGAAAAACTATATCCTTGTCCAAGGTATCTTTTTCACAAGCGGAGCCCAGAGACATTTCTCAGGATAAAATGTCTTCTTTTCCATTGAAAATTACCCATGTTCCAGAAAAGCCTATTTTATCAGAATTAACATTTCTAGAAGTTGAACAGGACAAAAATTTTCAATCAATTAATCATAATGAGATTGGAGAGAAATGTTCAGATGCTGGCCTTAAAGAGAATTGCCAAGCTGAGCTTTCTCCTGCTACCTCCAAATATGAAGATATACCAGAAACAGAGGTAGATGCCTTAGGCTCTCCTCCTGCTCTTCTTAAAAGTATTATATCTGGGATTTTACCACCTATTCGTGATGAGAAAGTCAGTAGGCAAATGGCACAGAATTGTGAAGCTAACACTTACATGATTCATCAATCTTTGGATATTTGTGGGACTAAAAAGATTTCTGGTCACTCAGAAATGGCAGAACTCAGCTTAACTAATATTTTCCATAAATTCCAAGAAACTGGCAGCTCAAAAGTAAATTCACCTTTTCTAGATTCTGATTCCAGTTTGGGAAAAAATGTTTCTGCATCTGAGGACTCAAGCTTCCTTAATGTACCTTCTGTGCTGAGATCAGAAAAGAAATCCTCATCTTACAGAAAGAAAGAGAACATCCATTTTTTAAATGGTGGTATTGATAGTGTGTCATCTTCCTCTAGTTACCCTGAAGAAGTTAACGTGATAACAAATTCACATAAGCCCCAAAATAATTTGGATTCTATACAAGTTACCAAAGATCTCACACATGAAGGTACCTCCGTAACTAACCCGTTGTACCCTAACACCTCTTATTTGGAATTTGAAACGTCTATCTCAATTGGGACAGAAGTAACCCCATTTCAGGAACATTTTGGGAAGATATCCACTGATTTCCCAACCACTGCCCGATTTGACAATCCCGTGGAAGCAGAGACTGGAGCAGTTGCTGGGCCTGCAGTGTCAGTTAACAGCTCAGGCCAACAGTGTTCTGAAGCCTCTGCTGAGCACAAAGAAGCCAGGGGAAGAGCACATGACCAACTTTTGGACCTCGAAAGTAGTTTACTCAAAAAGGCCGACACATTGATTGGTGAGATTTTTAATTCTGTCAGGGAAGAACTAAAATTCAAACACACAGTGAGTACCTGCCAGGAGCACATAGCCATAGAAGGCATAATGAATCGGGGTACCCTGAAAGAAGATGTCTCTGAGAAAAACCCATCAGAAGTGACACTAACAGAGATCCAACAGACAGAGGGTTTGGAAGAGCAGGGCATGGAAAACATGTCAGAAGTCGAAGAGAAGCCCTGTGATTCACCAGCAGTTGGTGAGAAGAGTCTTCTTGTTGATCCTGATAGTATGAATGTATCTTGTTTGTTAGAAGATAAAGCTAGGGAATTAGTCAGTGAGATTATTTATGTAGCCCAAGAAAAATTGAGAAATGATGCTTTTGAAGATACTGAGGATACTTGGGATTCTGAACTTCAGGCAGATCCTTCAAAAATTCTGAACAGTGATAGTGTTAAGCCACATGATGTAGTTAGAGAGTTCTTGGTATCAGAACAGCCAGTAAATCAAAGCACACAAATTAGTGAAAATAAAATATTAAGTAAATTCTTCTCTGTAAGTAACTTAGCTAGTGGCACAGAGTCAATTAAGGGAAGAGAAATTGTTCTCTACCAAAAATCCCCATTTTCTGGAAATGGATCTGGACTGTCTGATAGTATAAATTTGCAGGAATCAGATACGGTTTTACTAGCTGAAGACATGTCACGTAAACGGTCAGATGATAGGGTAAAAACACATTTATTTTGCAGTGAGGACTGTAATGAGACAATGGAAATAGAGAATGTGGATAATAACAAAACTGAGACAGAGGATAGAAGAACTCTTGTATTAAATTTCAAATGGCCTCCACTTGTGAATGATGACATCCATGCACCTGGTACATCTAAAAGCAGTTTGTCTGATAGCCTTGTATGTATATCTGAAAAAAACTTGCCAGGACACAGTAAAAACACACCTCTTGCAATGTCAGAAGTAGGGAAAGTACACAAGAAGGATAATGAAATAAATATAGGGAAAATTGAGCTTATACCTTCCATGTTAGAAACGGAGAAAACAAACAAAAAGGATGCTGAATTGAATATTCTGAAATATGAGGCAGTCCCTCCTATGTTAGAAATGGGAAGAGTACATAAAATGGATGCTGAAATGAATGTCAAGAAAACTGAACCAAAAGCTAATGTTTTTAAAATGGGAGAAGTATACCAAATGGATGCTGAGAGCTGTATTGAAAAAACTGAGGGATCACCTGTCATTTTAGGAATGGAAAAAGCTTATAAGATGAAGGATACCGAAGGGGATGTTGGCAAAATTGAGGTGATACCTATTATGCCAGAAGTTAAAAATGTCCACCAAAAGGATGCTGAAGGGTATATTGTAAAGACTGAGATGGCACCTGTTACAATTCACATGGAAAATATTTACCAAACGCATGCTGAAGGGGATATTGGCAAGACTGGGGCAATACCCTTGTCAGAATTGGAAAATATCTACCGAAAAGATGGTGAAGGGATTAGTGAAAAGGCTAAAGTAATACCCATTACATTAGCAATGGAAAATGCTTACCAAAAGGATGCTGAAGGGGATATTGCAAAGGCTGAAGTGATGCCTGTGAGGTTAGAAATGGAAAATACTTACCCAAAGGATACTGAAAGAGATAGTGGCAAAACTGAGGTGATGCCCATTGCATTAGAGGTAGTAAATACTTACCAAAGAAATGCCGAGGGGTTTACTGGGAACACTGAGGGATCTATGTTGAAAATGGAAGCTACTTACCAAAAGACTGCTGAAGAGGTCATTAAGAATACTGAAATAGTACCGTGTGTGTTAAAAGTGAAGGAAGCACACGAGGCAGCACCTGCCCCCTTAGAAATAGAAAAAGCATACAAGAGAGATGTTAAAGACACTATTGGAGCAACTGTGTCCTTACCCTCTGTGATAGAAATGGAAAAAATATCCCCAGAAGATTGTGGTGAGAATATTGGGAAACACAAAGTGTTACCCACAGTGGTAGACATTGAGAAAATACATGGAACAGGACTGGGATTGACCATTACACAAGTGGAGGCCATGCCTCCTGCATTTGAAAGTAAAACACTACAAGAGTATGCTGAAGGGAGTGTGGGAGAAACAAAGGAAGAACCTACTGAAATAAAGGAAGGCTTGATAGCACATGAGAATAGACTTGCTACACATTTCAGGGGTTATGAATCCCCTACATTAAGTAAGGATTATGAGGGCTACCCAGCCCCAGCAATGCCAGATTTTCAACCTGGAGATACCATAGTAAGACTAGACAAAAGAATGTCTCTTACTGCAATACATGACAAGAGGAGAGAGACAGATTATAGTGGCAAAAAGGGATATAATTTAGCTTTTGTTTCTCAAGATGAACAAGAAAATTCTTCCTTTACTATATTATATGAAGAACCCCTTCAAGAAGAGGACAAGTATGCTTCCACGGAAGCAAGCCAAACACGGTCTGTCTTGTTTCCTGATACGTCCCCTGACAGCATGCCTGTTCTGGCATGTGAAAGGTCTGAGAGTAGAACTGACCTTGTCCATCACTTTGAAAAAGGTACTAAATTAGGTGAGACGTTTGATAGTGATAGTTCAGAAATGTTCTTATCAGTGGAGGCCAAAAGGTACAAAATTTATCCTTTAGCGTTGTCTCCCATTTATGAGGATGACAGCTCACAGGAGGACATTCTATCCAGTGAGGTTTCACCTGGTCACCATGGCCCCAGGAAATCAAGAGACAGTGAAAACCAGCCCTCTTCTGTTTTATCCCTTCTCCAGTCAGTGTCAGAGCGTTTAAAGATGAATTTTGACGAAGATGACAGAGAGGCAGCTGAGGAGGAAGAGGAGGAGGAGGCAGCAGTATTGCATAAAGATCTGAGAGCTGGAAGTGGGGAGCATGTTACCTTCCAGTTGCCAGATCCTTCTATCACATTTTACCCTGATGACCAGGAAAGCATTGGAATTTCTAAGAATTCATATGTGATGCCAAGTGAACCTACTACCTCCAATCTGCAAGTTGGTCTGTGGCCAGAAAAGACCTCATTTCTCCAGAAATCTGACCTTACTTCTAAACTACATTCTTCTTTAAAGAGTGCTTATCATCAGTATCTGCAGACTTCCCAAAGTCATTCCTCAGAAAAAGGAGCCAGATTTGGTGGAATTCTTCAGGAACCAGTGTCCAAGTATTTCCGTGTTCAAGACAACCCAGGCAGATTGAGCCCATTTATAGAGGTAAGTTATTTTGTTTATTATATTAATAATAATTATTAAAGCTTTGGGTCATGAAATTATCTAAAGGCTTATTAAGAAAAATCAATGTTTTGGCCAAGCATGCTGGCTCACGCCTGTAATCCCCGCACTTTCGGAGGCCGAGGCAGGTGGATCACGAGGTCAGGAGTTCAAGACCAGCCTGGCCAAGATGGTGAAACCTCGTCTCTACTAAAAATAAAAAAAAAAATTGCCAGGCATGGTGGCGGGCGCCTGTAATCCTAGCTACTGGGGAGGCTGAGGCAGAGAGTGGTTTGAACCCGGGAGGCAGAGGTTGCAGTGAGCCAAGATCGCACCAATGCACTCCAGCCTGGGCGACAGAGTGAGACTCCATCTCAAACAAACAAAACAAAACAAAAAAGAAAATCAATGTTTTGAGGTTGTAGAAGTTACATAAAGTTTGTTTCATAAAAATATCAGATTTATTCTTTGGTTGAAATATATCATAACTCATGTATTTTAGCTGGACTACTTAGGAAACAAAATTGCTTGGTCAGAATTTAAAAAGCTAATACTGAAGCAAGGTTATTTTGAAGTATTTTGCTAATATTTTTCAAGCTAAATTAAGTGACAGTCTAAATTTCTCAAGGTACTGTATGTGAGAAAATTGTCAGTTTGCATTTAGCTTATTAGTCTAATGAAAAATCTTTCTGTTAAGTAAAATTTTTAAGTATTTGACAGCAGCCTCTCACTACAACAACTCATGTTGTTCATGCAACGCAGGGCAGTGAGCAACCTAAATCAAACAAAAAGAACTGAAAACATTATAGCTGGAAAATGTTTTAAATTCAATTACATTTTTCTTTGATTTAGAAAATTTAAATATTTAATGTAGAATATTTATTAAATATGGGACTTTCCTTTCTGGCATTTCCAAGATCATGGTACTTTCAAGATAAAGATACAGGATGTCCAAGGCCTGTATCTTTACCTCAAACAATCTTCATGGCAAATAGTAATACTCAAAGACCAACCAAAACTTGCAAAGCAAAGTCGTTTTAAAAGACATGATGGGATTTGAAGAAATATTTCTTTCGTGGTTCTCCACTGACTACCAAATCAAGTGGCACCTCTTAACTCTGCATTATAAGGCCCCCAAGTTCTGTTTTGCCAACCTTGTCTCCCCACACTCTGGGTGCACACTCTGTTTCCTACCAGTGCACTTTTCCCCAGGATGGTTCTCTTCCTAGAATTTCTTTATTCACTATCCCATCACAACCTGCCACATTTTCCATTCACTGAAATGTTGTTTTTCAAGATCCCTCAATACCACTTCCTCAGAAAAGCCTCTTTGAATCTCTGTGTGCCCTTACCTCCATGCTGGTGCCATTTCCACAACCTAGTGTTTTCCTTGGGTTTTACCTGTGAATGTAACTTAGGCTTAGAAGAGCTATGCAAATATGATCATCTGTTTACCCATTCTAAGCTATGTACTTCTTGAGGGCAGAGACAATGTGTTAATTTCCTGTATGTTTATATTTATATCACTTTTATCTAGAGAAGCACCTTCCTCATAATGATCACTAACTAAATATGTGATAAATTGGATACATGACTGCTAAGAAAATGAATTATGCATCTTTCACTGATGTTTCTTGAAGCTTACTTTCCCACTTTTATTATTTCAGAATGTTGACAAAGAAACTCTGAGATATAACCCAAGACCTGGGAAGGTGAGGATAACTTTCTCAAACTAAGATAAAGGTTAAAGATTAGGTAACTTTCAGGCTTGAGGAATTTAATATACATGACTTAGAAAATGATTTCAAGGATTTAACATCTAAAGTAACATTTGCTCTTGTATATTTAGGATGTTTATTTCTATGTCCTAGGACATTTTAGAATTTAAAATACATTCTAAAAATTAGTTATTGTAGCTACTTACTGCTATTTACTGTGTTGCAGATGGTTATCTATGATCTCCATGAAAGTAAATATAAACAAGAAGTCTACTGTAATATTCCTGATGCTACATCATGGTCTTTTCCAAATGGAGTTCTAATAAAAGTTGTAAGGGGCTGGTAAGAAGTCTCTTAAAATTTTATAGCATATTTTCTTAAAGTAAATGTGTCTTCTTGCTGTTAATGCTTTTTTTGCTATTTTTTATTAAAGTCATATTTTCCTTCCTCTACTTTTCGACAGAATATTTTGAAACATTATTGTTAGTGTGTTATAACTTAATTGTTCTCTTTATTTACTATGGCATAAAATATAATCTGTTTTTAGTGCTTAAGCCAGTAAGTTGCAAGACTTAATCTATACAATCAGTACCATTCTGTAACTGCATTATTAGCGGATAGATTTGGCAAGTTTGGGTGAATGCTTCAGTTGAATGAAGCATAGCTTTGAAAATTAGTTCAGAATTTGTGGGATGCTGAGGAATGTGAAGGCCACATAGTTAAAGTTGTTTGTATAACTTGCTCAGAAGTGAAGGAATCTTTGTATGGTCTAAAAATGAGGGGCAACCGCATCTGTTTATTATGGACCATGAGCCGTGGACAAGCTGGAGCCAGAATGTATCTGTCCAGTATTTAGGCTACCCAGGTAAGCATTCACGTCTTAAATCATATGGTGTAATCTCATCTTCATGTAATAAAATGGGACTTGCGTCCTGTGTTACTCAGCAACAAGAAAATTAGAAGTATAATTTGGAATTGTTGCACTGTTGTTTTTAATGCAACTGTATAGTTTTGTATAGACCACATCCACAAAGAGCATACATACCTAAATATAGACATAGAAATACATTATGGTACTATGTTCAGAAAGTATTTCTATTTCCAAGGTGTATGCACTTTTGTTTTTTCTTTCCTATTCACCTATACTTAAATTAGCATATATCATTGTTTCAAAAAAAATAGAGTTATATGCTAATAGTGGAAGATATCCCAGCTTAAAAAATTTAAGTAGACAAAATGGTCTGTGACTTATACGCCTCAGTTCTTAGAAAATTAAATATAATTCATCATTGCGTTTCTCTTTGTTTAGCTGGATTTTATATGAGAAACCACATTTCCGAGGTCAGAAATGTGTGCTGGAAGAAGGGGAAAAGGTGTTAAATCGTGACTGGATTCTTCAGAACAGAAGGCATCCACAAAGAAACTTTGTATTGGGTTCTATCAAACGTGTCTTAAAGGTAACAACTGTAGATTTTTCTCCTGTTTTTTATTTGATTTTATTTGTCATATAGTAAACCTGTGCTATGACCTGGCAATGTTTACAAATCATTGCTAATTTTTGTGCTGTTACTAATCTTATCATATTGATAATATTTTGAGTTTACGCAAATAGAGTGAATGTAATTAAAAATATTAACCAGAGGTAATCTAGTTTATAAAATGTTACATGGGCTGGGCACGGTGGCTCACACCAGTAATCTCAGCATTTTGGGAGGCTGAGGCAGGCAGATGACCTAAGATTGGGAGTTCAAGACCATCCTGGCTAACATGGTGAAATCCTGTCTCTACTAAAAATACAAAAATTAGCCACCTGTGGTGGTACAAGTCTGTAATCCCAGCTACTCTGGAGGCTGAGGCACAGGAATCACTTAAACCCAGGACATGGAGGTTGCAGTGAATCAAGATCGTGCCACTGCACTCCAGCCTGGGCGACAAAGTGAGACTCAGTCTCAAAAACCAATAATAAATAAAGATATAAAATGTTACATAATGTACTATATATTTTTAATAGGATTATACTATTGTTATTAAAATATGCTAATAGGAATAGTATACTCCTATTATAATAGTATACTATATACTATACTGTAATAGTATACTACTATAATAGTATACTACTATATTAGTATACTACTATAATAGTATACTACTGCTCCTACTGTAATACTCCTAATGGTATATAATAGTATAGTATTGGCTGGGCACTGTGGCTCACACCTGCAATCCCAGCACTTTGGGAAGCTGAGGTGGGTAGATCACTTGAGGTCAGGAGTTCGAGACCAGACTGGCCAACATGGTGAAACCCTGTCTCTACTAAAAATACAAAAATTAGCCAGATGTGATGGTGGGCAGCTGTAACCCCAGCTTCCCAGGAGGCTGAGGCAGGAGAATCACTTGAACCTGGAGGGCAGAGGTTACAGTGAGCTGAGATCATGCCACTGCACTCCAGTCTGGGCAACAGAGCAGGACTGTGTCTCATAACAATAATAATAATAATAATAGCAGCATAGTATTATAGAATACTCCTAATTAGTATACACTGTTCCTAATTAGGAGTATACTATTCAGGAATATTAGAGATTCCTTATTGATTTCCAGATATACATTTTCCTAGTGTAGATTGCTTCTACTTATTATAGATATGTGTGTGCATGCATGTGTGTGTGTTAGGGGAAATAAGGGAGGATTGGAATAGGAAGGGAAGGTATTGTTTTTTATTTTTCTGTTTAAACAATATTAATACTAAGATGAAAAGGGTGTTCCAATATAATAAAATATTTTGTATGAGTTCTGTGGTAGTATAGAGGAGGGATTAATTAGTGATAAGGACATCTCAGATAAGGAGATGTCTCCTCACAGGTATTCTTAAGATTTCCTTCAACAGTAACATAATATGTGATACAATACAGTTACTTATGTGTCAGTCATGGATATATGTAGTTTTCAAGTTATGGAGATTTCATTTGTATACATAAAAAGTATAAATTGAGATGAACACCATCATGATGACTTGGATTGTTATTATTAAACTCTTGATAGTGGTCTGTAGCATTCAGAGAAATTAAATACAGCCTACAGAAAAACTCAAGTTATAAAGGGTGTCTGCACGTATTTTATGTGAATCAATACTGTCTGCCAAACTCTAAGTAAAACTATATTTAACAAATATTTGTGTCTGCTTTTGAGCCAATACTGTGGTGTGCACAGGGAATAGAAATACAAGTGAGATACGGTTCCTTACTTCAGGTTGCTTAAAGACTGGGGGAGAGCAGCTGAGTCACATGATTATATGGTGTGAGAAGTGTTCTCCAGGGCCCTCTGGGCACACAGAAGAAACAACTCACCTTTGGGAAGAGGCATGTCACCTGGAGGAGGTGGCACCTGTTTGGAATGTTGCAAGGACTAACAGGAGTTAAGCAGTCTAGGAGATAGGAGGGAGTTCCTGGCAGAGCCACTTTTGTCAGATGCAGAGGTGAGCTTTGGTGGCCTAGTGTAATGCAAGGAGATGCGGATGGCTGAAGTGGAGAGAGCAATGTCCATTTTCATTGAAAGATTTAACTGCAGTCAATTCAGTTCTACAGATAACCATCTGAGTGCTCACTCGATTAACTCAACTAGAAATTCCTTGAAAAAATGACTAGTTTGTAACTGTACTCTTTTAAGATTTATATAACTTGTGGTTTTGTGCTGTCTTTGTGAAATCAGGCACTATGCCAAGGCCTAGTGGGGAAAAAAACAATTTATGGCAAACAGCCACCTCTCTCAACCCCCCCGAAATCAAACAATAAAATCAAACAGATTTAATCTGGTGAGCATAGATATTTGAATGGATATTTGCACGTCCACCATTTGTTTGGACTATATTATAAGAAAGAGTAAGTCAGGCTTGTACTTTTTCCTCCAGTGTTTGTTCTTGGAATCATTTCTTTTTTTAGTTGCAGTGTTAGTGCCCGTGTATCTCGAACAGGTTAACAACTTTTAGTGAGGAAGGAAAATAAAACTATTGAGCATTGAATGAAAGAGGCATAAGCCTTGTTTAAATATTTTACAAAGTAATAATGAGGCATCAAACTGCTTCCTTTTTCCAATCTTGTCAAAATTCTGCCTATCGATGCTTCACTTTCATGGTGGTTGTTTCCATGCTGGATTCACTTCTGCCTATTCTATGCCAACTTTATCTTGTTGAATCATCTTCATATTAGTTGTTTTCATTGTTGTAGTCAAGACTTTAATGTCCTTTAAAGATAATTCTTCATGACGTCTTCACTTTAGAGTACACCACCCAAACAAACATTGTTTGTACCACACAATGCAGAGGAAATTTGTTTGTGTGACACAGTTAGTTATGTGTTTTGTTACTGTAACTCAGATCCCTGGGGGGACATTAATATGGAAATATTTGAAATATTGTTACTAGAACTCTATTATTAACAGCATACAAAAGAGCCTTGAGGATTGACAGGTATAGCAGACACCCTCAAAAGTTATCAGTATGTAGATTCCAGCTAAGGATTGTCTTTGTCCCCAGGGAAAATAATTGGGGGTGAAGGTAGTAACATGGTGAATCTTGATTCAAGTGCTTTCGTTTGTAAAATTAGAATAAATTAATATTGCAAATTACTATGTTTACTGTGTATTTAAGTCTTTTTTTAAAGATATGACATTTTTCTTATGTTAAAATCTGTTGTTAGATCTAGAACTGAGGTATCTTATGTAAGGTAGAGACAAATAGATTTTCTTACTGTGTTTGTTTGTTAACTGTGATTTTGTTAACTGTAACTATAAAACTGTCTTCATTCTTACTAATTGCTATAATAGTATACGTTTGCAAACTTCGCTAATCTATTTGCAAAGTGTAGCAGGACTACAGAAGTATACAAAGAAGCCATATAAACTCAAATTGTTTATTGTTTCTAGGTTACTATAAAGTGCCTTTCAGTTGCTGGTGTTTGACTTTCTTTGTGCATCAAGAATTATACATATGTTTTGCAAAGCATGCTATTTCTGTGAATAGCCACCGTGAAGATAGAACTTAACAGTGAAATATTTTTCAGTCAACTAGAGCAAAAATTAGGTTTCTAGTGAAGATAACAGCAAACATATGCCTTCTCATTTTTGTTTATTTTCATTTTTTAGTGATTACACTTTTGCTATTATACTGTTTCCATCTGTGTTGTTGTAGACTTGAATGCTTCTTAGCTTTTCCCTTTTAGAGTACACCACCCAAACATTGTTTGTACAACACAATGCAGAGGAAATTTGTTTGTGTGAGACAGTTAGTTATGTATTTTGTTACTGTAACTCAGATCCCTGGAGGGACATTAATATGGAAGTATTTGAAATAATGTTACTAGAACTCTATTATTAATAGCATACAAAAGAGCCTTGAGGATTGACAGGTGACTGTTCTAAACATTTCTGCTTATTTTTGAAATGAAACATTAGAACGAAGTATGCTTTTATACTTTAAAGGATATTTTTAGATTATGCTTCTTTAGTATTTTGCATTTTAGAACCAATTTTCTGAAAATGAGATGTATAAACTTGCTTGCTTTTGTATATTAATAGAATGATTGAGAATTCAGTTTGGGGAAAAGTTGAAAAATCAGATTATACTTTTAGAATTGCAAAACTTAAATAGAATTGTTCAGTCTCTTATAAATGCCACCCCTGTTATTACATTTACCTATTTTATTAAAGCGTATGCATTTGAATCTCACAGTGTCATAGGGGATAATTACTAAAACTTGAGTTGTATCGAGTTCTATCATTAAATACTTGTGAGTATTGAGATAGTGTGTTCAGACAGAAGTGTATCTGTAATTACAGAGAAGGGAAAAAATAATTGTAATTTTGATTCCCTAAGAAGGGATGAGGTCTTTTTTGAGTTAGAACTTGACTATTAGAAGAGATTTTTGAAAGTAAGAATACAAAGAATTATTTCTTTAGTTGAGATAGGGGAAACATCTGCAAAACTTATAGAGGCTGGAGTGGAAGTGGAGATAGCGTGAGGACCAATATGACTACAGAGTTGTAGGAAGTTAGTGTGGATCACTAGTTTGGTGCCCTATTATAGAAAGACACACAGAAACATGAATTTGATGTGCTTGGGTCTGAAGCCAATGAGTTTCTTGAGGAAAGTGATATTCTAACAAGTTCAGCTGTCTAAAGAGTAGTAGCTAGTGCTTGACTAGTGGTTGTAAGTAGGCCTGTAATCAAAGTTTGGGCCTAACCAAGGGTTGTGACAGTGGAAATATGTAAGAAGAGATATGCACAAGGGAAATTTTTAAGGAAGGTCTCACAGGACAATGAGTGCATAATTTTTTAAGACTGTGATGGAGTAAAGGGTCAATTACATAATGCTTTTCTTCTTCAAACCTACTGCACTAGGAAATGCAGTCCTACAGGGAGGAAAACAGATTTCCTTTACCCTCACCTCTAATGACTATTTCTTTTGTCAATGTAAATTAGATAAACACTGAAGAGGGTACTGCTTCTCTACTTGTTTTTTATATCCCCGATGAGATCAGCTTTTATTTACCTCTCTTCCTCCCTTATGGTTTTATTACACTTCTAAGAAGGAAGGCTTACAGACATTTGGCACTCAAATAGTTTGGTAACTCTGAAATCTGAACTCAATTTGGTAACTCTAAGCATTGCTTAATGGAAAGAATCTTTAAAAATCAAAGCAGAAAAATTGGGACAATAACTTTTCCATAAAATGTATAATTTTCATGTTATTAACAACTTTTTTTAGAAAAACTTATTTTTTAGGAGAAACAATATTTCCTTTATGTTTTCTTTGTGAAGAAATTCAACTCAATAATGAGAACAGTGTAACTGTATGTCCAGGACATTGAGAAGACTAGACTGTGTGTCTCTAGTTGATTTCAAAGCCAAATTATTATTTTTTTTCAGGACTGCAGCATTCCAGAGATAGAGCTTTTCCCACAATCTGACCCAGCCTGTTGTCCTGTCTACATACAGAGAGCAGTCCCCAACTTGGAAGAACTGAATATCTCCAAATCTATGTCCTTCACTGTGAAGTCAGGAGTGTACGTATCAGTTCCTTTTTATTATAGTGATTGATGGCCACCAAAGTTAACTTTTTGTTTCATATTTAAATAGACGACATATATATTTCTAAAGTTTCTAGCTAATGTTTATACTCTCAGTCACCCAAGAAAGACTGCAGGGGTTAAAAGATTCTTTCTTTGGATCTAACTAGAGCTTTGATATATGACTCACAGGAGCAGGTATAGAATTCTGAGATGTAGTTCTCGATATATAGATCTGTTGTCTTTTCATCCAACAAATTCTGTGATTGAGAAATAAAAGCATGTCCCTGGCCTAAAATTTTGGAGCCTGAACTATTTCTAGGGTGTCTAAGTTCTAATACTGACTGCCTCTGTGGTATCAGGCACATACGGCTTTTTTGCTTATGACTCCTCTGTTCCTGAAAAGCAGATGGTGTTACTCTCATATTATATGTGGGTGATTTGTCCCGGGCTACTAGCTGGTCAGCATGGATTTGATACTAGGCCTCTCTGTTTCTAGAGGTATCTGTAGAATGATGGGTCTAAGTTCAGTTTTAGTTCATTCCCAGATTGACTTGACTCCAAACCCTGTGGATATCTGGCTCAACATGAAACCCTCTGCTCCCTCACTGTTTTTGTTTATTCTGATGATGGTTGGTGTACAATTTGGGGGTCACTGTAGGACAACTTTTTTGTCCCCCCACATGTGAATTAGAACTCATGGGCAGGCCAGCCGTGTGTGGTGGCTCGTGCCTGTAATCTCAGCACTTTGAGAGGCCAAGGTGGGTGGATCACCTGAGGTCAGGAGTTGGAGAACAGCCTGACCAACATAGAGAAACCCCATCTCTACTTAAAAAATACAAAAAAATTAGCTGGGCATGGTGGCACATGCCTGTAATCCCAGCTACTTGGGAGGCTGAGGCAGGAGAATCACTTGAACTCAGAAGGCAGGGGTTACGGTGAACCAAGATCGCGACATTGCACTCCAGCCTGGGCAACAAGAGCAAAACTCTGTCTCAAAACAAAACAAAACAAAACTCTTGGGCAGGCCAGTAATTGGCCGTGTCCATGAGGAATGTCTGTAATTATCAAGCTTAGCTGGAAGATGGGTCTTTTGGGAATCTGATTGCAAATACTCTTCCTTAGGCAGCCAGTAGAACTGATATGATTCTAAAAATGTGGCTCAAAATGTAAAACACCTTGTGGAATCCCTGCCTTTGATTGTTCCAGTTTAAAAAAGAATGGAATAGAGTAAAATTTGTTTTGATTTTCTAATTATTTCCCACTTGAATTAAAGGTGCCACATGTTTTAGGTATCGGAAAAATAAAAGGAATGCCTAATGATTGGAAAACATATTAGACTTATTAAGGACAGATAGCTTGTTATAGGATAGATAATGTGTGAATGTAAATACTTAATAACATGGTAAATCTGTTATCGTTATATAATGTCTGGCTCTCACTTTGAGTGTGTTTTACTAGTGTAATTCTGTGATGGAGGATTTTTTTTATTTTGGTAGCACTTTTAACTTACCGAACCAGACTGAAACAGTACTGTTATACTTTAACTATCTATTTTTATATAGTTGGCTTGCCTACCCAGATATTAATTTTAAGGGACAAGCTACAGTTCTGGAGGAAGACCATGGGCTCTTCGAGATTTCTACAGCAGAAATGAAATCATTACATCCGCTTCAAATGGTAAGCAAATTTAAAAAGAAGCATTCCTTTTCCCAAGTACCCATGAATCCAAAATTAAATAACCATGATGGTTGCTCTTGCATCTCAATCTCAAGAAGTGAATATGTGTACCACTGAATTGGCAAACTATTGTACTGTAGTGCCTTCAGTATTTATAGTATTTCTTTTTTGTTGCAAACATTTACTTGAGTGGCAAACTGTTCAATTAAACATTGGCTATGTGATAAACCATTTTTGGTTAGTCCGTGCCCTTTAAAAACATAGCCACTAGTACAAACTAAAACATTTTTAAAAATATCACAATGTGGAGTAGCACTTGAAACAAAAAAAAAACCTACAGAATTGGGGTTTTTGTAGGGAAAAAGTTACTTTTCATGCTGTGCAACCTTGAGGTCACAAAGACAGTGCATGTGATCAAAAGTGTTGGTCGAACTTGGAAAGGTTAGTGTGGTTAGCTCAGTGCTCTAATTTAGAAAGCCCAAATAATTGTAGGGAAGACTTTTGGATTAGCTAGCTAAGAAATCTACTCTGCTGAATGAGATTTCTAAGTTTACTAGCAATACCACTTTTCTTTTTGGGACACTCTGAAGTGGGATTAAATCTTAATTGGTCATGTGTAGTCAAGGACTAAAGCTCAGTTTCCTTCCTCATAGTAGTTGTAATCTGGAAAGTGTATACTTAAGATTTCTTGCCCCATCTACATTGACAAGGAACACTATAACTTGGTTTTGACTACTATAGAGTTCTATATTTAAAATTTAAAATTTAGCACAATTTAAATTTGACTGATGTGTAATCTTCACTGATTAGATTTTTATGTAACCTACATATATCACTTTCAGATATTACGTTCAAATATTTTAAATATTTACCTGTCTAATATTAAACTATCTTGTCATCTTAAGGGTGGACTGAAAGTGGAAATGCCCATGAACTTAAAGGTAAGTCTTGAACTGATTTTTGTAGCAGGCTAAAGAGTCTCTGGATTAATATTTAGGTATTTTGAATTATTGGAATAAAAAGTACCTCCACATATGATTATACTTAGCTGATGGATTTGGAGGAGGTGGGAAGTGAATGCACAAAATGTTTGATGAGGGCCCACCCTGTGGCTGTGAATGGAGAGTGGGATCAGTCTGCAAAGATGGAGGTCTGTACCAATAAATCAGTCAGACTCACTAGATTTCTGCTACGGGGTGGAAAGGTGATAGGTTTGATTTTTGTTTTGGAGGAGGGGACTTGAGATAGCAGGTAGTTATTAAAGTGGAGATATCTAGCAGGCCTTTGGGAGTGATGCTCAGGAAGGTGATCAAGGCTGATCAAAAGGAAGTGTAGGTAACTCTTATCAGATAGATGGCAGTTTGTAAGTATGAGCATCCAAAGGGAAGAGTAGAGGCAAGGCAATGAAAACGAGTGGCAGTGGTGCCAGGATCAAGCAAATTCAGGCAAAGAAAGGAAGAAACAGAATTACAAAGTATTTTTAGAGAGAGAAGGCAAACCAGTACAGTGATAAAAGATGCAAACAGGCCTGCCTATAATTTGGTTATAGCACCTGCAGAGGCAGGTGTGGAAGCAGGGATTCATTTGTCTTCCTGTTCTCTAAAACAAGACACAACTCCTTCAACTCTCCCATTTCTGGGCTTTCTCATTTATGGAACTGACTTCCATTCTCTCAGACACATAGATGGAGTCTTTTAAAACTTCTGTGTCTGAGTGTATCTAATATACTTTGACTGTATGTTGGAATTATACATATTGGAATTTTAAAAGATGCTTGAGCCTGGGCTGCACTCCCAGAGATACCATATTAGTTTGGGCCATGGTCAACAATTTCCAAAGAGTCCTAAGTGATTCTATTTGCAGTCAAGACATAAAAGATGTAAATTAGCTGTGGTGCTGTCTGAATGCCTTCTGTCTCATGTCTCTTAGTCTGGTCAATCAGGACTTCAGTTGTGACAGGCTGGATCTTCCTTGGACATTTGCAGTTTGACAGGTTGTAGGTGTACATGAATGGATTGGTAATAACAATTTATAAGTCGTTTGATATTAATTTGTGGCTTACTCATCAAAGAATTTGTATTTCTTACTGAGTTTGAATGTGGTCAGCATATGTAACATGTATTAAACCCAAATAAAACTTTGTCATTTCAAATATAGTACCCAGTGCAAACCTAACATGGAAAAGTGCAGGATCAGTACTATATAAATTTTCCCTAATATTATCAATTTTTAGTCATAAGGCAGCTATAACCTTTTTGATTTAGTGTTTTTAAGCATGAGGTTTATTTGGCAAGATATTGAGTTGACATTTGTGCACAAATTATTCCATTACCCACAAATAGGACCAAGTGAGAGAATGTGGATAGACAAATGCTGTTGTCACTTCCTCATATTTAATGCAGCTGGTATTTGAGAAGTAAAAAAACAGCAAAATAGTAAAGGAGAAATACTATTCCAATCCAAATTTGAAGTAAATGCCAGAAATTTGTTTCTGACAATACGTATTGCATCCCCTCGATTTAAATCAAATATCCAGTCTTTAGAAATAATATTTTTCGATAATTTCTTATTTTTAAGTAAGTTTTGTATTTAAATTCTAAAATTTGCATGTCTGTTTCTTCTCAATGAATAGTAGGCCATAGAAGTAGTTAGTTGTAAGAAACAGTATGTATTTTTAAAAGTCAATAGATAATTTATTGTTATACCCTGGAATCTCAAGAGGTTCTTTAAGGGAAATTCAGTAAGTAGAAGGAAGGTCTATATTAAATTCTGAACACAGGGATATACTTACAAAGATAATTCAAGAATCAGTTAGTTATAAGGCAGTTTACCCTATGAGGTGGTCCTAGTATTTGGGTGACCAAAACAATGTAATCACACTCAAGTATATTATTATAATATGAGAGAAACTTATTATTAAATAAGATATTTTACCTTTATGATGATAAAGACTCACATATTCTTTGTGAATATCCAACATTGTGCTATACTGTAAGTATACATGAGGGCACTTCAAAATGTTCATGGAAAAAATGGAATTAAAATATGAAAATAAATATAGACCTTATTTTTCATCATAAGCTTCGTCACTGTCAAGACACTTTCGTAAGCAGTCATGCCAGCTATTTAGTCCATCCCTAAAGAACTGAGGGTCTTGGTGAATTAACTATGTCAATGCAGTCTTTTTTACATTATTAACTGAAGGAAAATGGGTTCCCTTTAGAATTTTTGTTAAGATTAGGAAGAAGCCAGAAGGAGGCAATTCAGGAGTGTGAGGTGGATGCCTAATGATTTCTCATGGAAACTCTTGGGAAATTGACCTTGTTTGAGGAGGGAATGAATGGGAGCATTGCTGTGGTAGAGAATGACGTCCTGGTAAAGCTTCCCTGGTTGTTTTTCTGCTAAAGCTTTGGCTAACTTTTTCAAAACACTTTCATAATAAACAGATATTGTTCTTTGGCCATCCAGAAAACCAACAAACAAAATGCCTTGAACATCCCAAAAAACTGTTGCCACGACCCTTGCCATTAACTGGCCTACTTTTGCTTTGACTGGGTCACTTCCACCTTTTGGTAGCCATTGCTTTGATTGTGCTGTTTTCAGGATCATACAGGTAAAGCCCTGTTTCATCTCCTGTTATAATTCTTTGAAGAAATGCTTCAGGATCTTTATCCCATTTTTTAAATTTTCAGTTGAAGGCTCTGCTCTCATCTGCAGCTGATCGGAGCATAACGGTCTTGGTACCTATAGAATGGAAAGTTTGCTCAACTTTAATTTTCCAGTCGAAATTGTGCAGGCTGAACTAACTGAGATATCTGTGGTGTTGGCTATTGTTTCTGCAGTTAATTATCAGTCCTTTTCAACTAGAGTTCAAATAAGATGAATTTTTTCCTTTCAAATTGATGTGGATGGTCTGCCGATTCATGCTTCATCTTCAACATCATCTCTTCCCTTCTTAAATGAGTTATCTATGTGTAAACTGCTGCTTTCCTTGGGGTATTGTCTCCATAAACTTTTGGTAAATCATCAGTGATTTCACCATTCTTCTACCCAAGCTTCACCATAAATTTGTTTATTCTTGCTTCAATTTTAGCAAAATTTGTATTGCTCTGATAGGGGCTTTTTTCCAACTTCTGTTTCATTCTTCTTAGTACCTCAAACTAGATCCTGTTCAGATGTGTTATAACAAGTTAGTAGGAGTTGATTTTGGTGCAAAAAATTTTTCAATCCATGCAGTTTTTCGTAATACACCTTTTCCATGAACTTTTTGAAATCTCCTCATATTAATTTAAAAAAATAGATAGTAGTCCCTGTACATTTTGTGGTCTTTGGTGTCACTTAAGTAAATATGTATCTATACTAAAATATAAACATGTTAAATACTTTTTCAGGTTATTATTTATGAAAAACCTCACTTCCATGGACAGGCTAAAGAGTTTAGTGAGCATATAGATTCTGTTCCTAACTTTTTGAAAAATGATGGAGATTTTCACAGAATTGGATCAATTCGTGTCATTGGTGGAGTGTGAGTATCGTATTTTTAATATTTGCTCTAGTAGTCTATTTTTGAAGGTCAGCACAAAAATGTGCTAAGCGAAGCAAAAACAACGTTTTTAATCTAAAAATATACATTCCTTCTGTAATATGGAAAGTAAAAAATATCAGTTACTTATGGTTTTCTGTGGACTGTTGTTTCTATTAAAGATTTTGAGATATATTAAATGTAGAAAATAGTTTCTAAAACTTCAACACCTTGTATTTCTGAACACAGGATAGACTATAAGAATTGCAAAATAAAATTAGGTTTTCACAAGTTATGAACGTGAACGAGAGCCCCAGTTTTTATCCACTATTCTGTTGATCATACTTGACTTATGTACCAAGGACCTTGGCAGTGAGCCTTCCCTTGTTAAACAAGGATCTGGGTTGTATGTTTCCAAAGTCAAGGATTTTTGACATTGGTTGCCCCCTGGACTCTGAACTGCTTTTGAGGACGCTCTCTAGGAACCCCTGGATATAATCCCAAGTGTAACCATCATTGCTACCATCCCAGTCTTAGTCAGCAGCTACTGAGGCAGAAGCCTCCCAAATCTGTGATGAGCCTGGGATGTACCTTTATATTTGTATCTTTGTATCCTGGCAGGTGAAACAATGAAGAATAAACCGTCCTCATTGTTTATTTATCATTGTCAACCCAATGCTGGAATCCCTCCAGAAACATTCTGTTGTCTCTCTGTTGATACATTGGTTATTTGGGAATGTTAATTTGTTTTAATTATCAGTATCTCTTGATATTTGCAGTAACATCATATAATTTTGCTAACAGCTACTCTAGTAAAAGATGCTACTAAAATATTTTATTCACAAAAGTTAAGTGAATTGTTTAAGATCACTCAAGGGTCTATATTTAGAGAACTAGACTTTGCAATTTCTGGCAGTAAATTAAGTAATAGCCATACTAGTCAAAATAAAAATGTAAGAGATTATATATGCTGGATATGTAGATTATATCAATTATTAGTCTGACATATTAATCACTTCCTTGTCCTTCAATTTAAAAAATTGTATTTGGGTCTTGAAGAACAAATATGGTTTGGATAAATACATTTTTATTGTGTTTATTTGTAATATTATCTGGTTTGTGAACACACATGTTTCTTGTTAACCTTGCTATAAAATATTTTTGCCTTTTCCTCCCTTTGAGATCTAAATGTTTTTCCTGTTAACTAGATTGACTTAGGTTAAAACCAATTTTCTGCTGCATAGAAAATTATCTGCTAAAATTCTGTGTGATGTACATTGTTATTCTCTAAGGGTTTTTTTTTTAATAGCTATTTTGTAAAAATCCTAAGTAAACATGACTTGTAATGCAAGATGCAAACTTTCATTTGTCTGTGACAACTGCAGAAGAAAGATGTGATGTCCCCATTTAAAGAGGAATAGCTGATTATTTTTTCACAACTTCTACCGTTTTTTGGTTTTGTTGTTTAATTGTATCTGTAGGTAGCATGGACTCCATCCCTGTAACCATCTTGAGGAATCTGGGGAAAGTAAAACTAATGTTTCTTAACTTTTCTCAGATAACACCTATCTTTAAGTATACCAGATGGATATACAAACTGAATCTTAACCAAAACTTAGTCTATTAAGAAAAACTGAGTACATCGTTATTGGACTGTCATATAATGAATTCGTGAATCTTAATCGATCCTTTAAGGTCTTTTATACCTTTTCTTTCTTTTCCCATTCAGATATAAATAAAAGCATGTTCTGAGTAGCCACACTTATATAAAATAAAGCTTAGAATTTAAAAGTTGTTTTGTGAAATTTATTTTCATATAACAGTTGAAGAATAAAATGTTAGTTCATTTCCATAGTACAGATATACTGAGATGTATAAATAGGTTTATAGGTTTATTCCAATTCATGTGGACCCTGTGCCCCACCATCATACCTAGGCTTACAGAAAGGGGAGAGGGAGTAACAATTAATGGCTGCTATTTTGTGCCCTATGAAAACAATTGTTTGGAATATTTTCTGTATCTTCACAACCACAGTAGGAGTGAAGAAAGAGAAAGCAGTAGTAGGCAGCCTTCCTAGGCTTTATTTTGTCAAGCTCCTGAATTTCAAAGTTCCCAACCCTGGAGCTCAGAAATAGTCACCCTTGGAATCTGCACTGTTGGAGGGCCTCTCAGCCTAACTACGCAGTGTGGCTAAAGGCAGATTCGAGAAGGCCAGCTTGTTTCATGAGCCATCTATGCTCACATTGCATTAGATACTGTGGATTAGTTTATAAAAAGGTAAGCTTTATGGAGGAGCTTAATAACTCATGGTATTTATCAGTGTCTTATACTGATAGTTTTAGATTAGAAGTCAAGAAAGTAGTGGGACCAACATTTCCCACCTGTAAGTATCTACAGATGTCCTTGTATACATGGAGGGCCCTGAGGCTAATAACAGCTCAGTCGAATTTCTTGGTTCCTCTTTGATAAACCATCTTGTATTTTGTTTTAGAACTGAAGCCTGGTGACAGATTCGCTTGATTTAAACCCTGAATAAATGTTTCATGTAAAAGTCATTCTGTTGTTCCAGAATGGCTTAATTAGTAAAATAAAAATGATTATCTTTGGATCTCCATGTAAATTTGTATCCTTTCTCATTGGCTCTGTGCACTTCCTATTATATTTACTTGACACACTGTTCTCTGACCACCTTGTGCTGTAGTATCAAGTCACACCATAAACATTTAAAACGCATTGCTCTGTTGCAGTTCTGTAATTAACCTTTTGTTGGGAAAAGCCTCCATATTATAAAAATTATTGATCTATGAAGCACATACCATTTGTCTATCTTTGTAAATGAAACAAAATTAATGTGCTGCTTTTTACAATATGGAGATGAGCCACTATGAGGTTTATCTTGATTGTCTCTGTTTTGCTTTCTTGACTACCGTTTTATTAATGGGTCATTTGGGTGTCCCCTGTATTTCTAGGTGGGTTGCCTATGAAAAAGAACATTTTAAAGGCCAGCAGTTTCTGCTTGAAGAAGGAGACTTTGAAGACAGTAATGCTTGTGGTGCATTAAGTGGCCCTATCTTGTCTTTCCGGTACTTACAAGCTGTGAGTTAGCTTCCTTATCCTTAATGTTCTACTTTTTAAAAAATCTATTCACAAAAATTGGACATGACTCCTGATAGAACATGCGATTATAAAATAGAAGAGCATTAACCTCAACTGCTTATGCAACTTGCCTATTTTTCTTAACTGCCATGATTATTATAGATTTTTTTTAACTTTTCACCCATTGTTTCCATAATCATTTTTTGAGTACCTTCTTTGTTAGATGCCAGGAGTGGCCAGACTCAGCCCCCACATTTACACAGCAGGCAGTCTGGTAAGGAAGATAGCACTTACTTGTATAAATGTTTGGTATTGCTTGGCTATGATTGTATTAAGTACAAATTACTCAGGGTTCCCAGAAAAAGGTCAGTTGGTCAGTTATCCCCACTTGAATAGAGAGGGCTTCATGGAAAAGATGACAGCTGGCTGAAATTTCAAGTTCAAAAAAGAGTTAACCAAGTGAAAAAGTTCTAGAACAGGGTGAAGGAAAAAGGTAGGTGCCTGTTTAGCAAGAGATTAACACGTTAATGTGTAAAGTCAAGGTTATATAAGCCATTGATTCTCAGCTGTGGGTGACTTTACCCCTTAGGGGGCCTTTGGCAACGTCTGGAGGCATTTTGGATTGTCATATCCGGAGCAAGCGTGCTACCCCTGCAGGGCAGAGGCAACGGTTGCTGCCAAGCCCCTAGAATGTGAAGGACAGTCCCCGACAACAAAGAATTACAGGGTCCCAAATATTAATAGTGCTGAGATTGAGAAATTTTGTAAGCGAAATTTTGCCATGTTTAGGGAAATGTGGTTAACTTGGGATGTTAGGGAGAACTTTGGAAAGATGAGTCTCAAGCCAGATAACAAAGGACCATATTGAGGAGTTTAGATTTTTTTTTCCTGAGTTGACCATGAACTGTTGATGGATTTTAGGCCTAGTAAGCATGATTACATTAATGACTTAGAAAGATCATTTTGGTGACTGTACCAAATGAGTTGGAAACTAATTCTACCTGAAAGAAATATAAAACAATCCACTGAAGATTAGGCACTGGGATTGCTTGAGCAATAGATAAATAATTTGTGATATATTTAGTCTATAATTGTAATGCACAAGGGCCATGGGATTTTCTTTATTTAGCCATGTCTGTCTTGATATCTAAAAGGTAAGCAAGACAAAGCAAGACAGAGCCTTCTTTATGCTTTAGATCATTGTGACCATGTACACTGAGGAAATCATGGCTCATTATTCAAAGCATCGTCCACCCGGTATTGAATAATTTAAAATTTTCTCCCAGCTTATTTTAAAAAAGGTTGGGTGGCGCATTGCTAATGCTAGAAATGTTCATCCCTGAATTTGATGGTGTCTTCTAAAGATGATTTTAAAGCAAGCATAACAAAAGACCAAACCCCAAGTCACTAGTTGAAATCCCCCAGTAGTAGAAAATGTGGAAAGTTACAAATATTGCAACTACATTGCTAAATAATTCGGAGATATTTGATATAGACAGAGGCTAAAATGCATAATAGAAAAAATAGCAGAAACAAACATGCTAATTGCTACTGCAAACAAAAGTTTTGGGCATGTACAAAAATGATGACAGGTTTTTTTGGGGTTTTTTTTGTTTGTTTGTTTGTTTGTTTGTTTTTTGAGATGGAGTCTTGCTCTGTTGCCCAGGCTGGAGTGCAGTGGCACAATCTCGGCTCACTGCAAGCCCCGCCTCCTGGGTTCATGTCATTCTCCTGCCTCAGCCTCCCAAGTAGCTGGGACTACAGGCACCCGCCACCACGCCTGGCTAATTTTTTGTATTTTTAGTAGAGATGGGGTTTCACTGTGTTAGCCAGGATAGTCTCGATCTCCTGACCTCGTGACCCACCCACCACCCGCCTCAGCCTCCCAAAGTCCTGGGATTATAGGCATAAGCCACCACACCTGGCTGGTTTTTAAAAATATATATCTAAGTAAAAATACCCTTCAAACAGTATCTTCTCTTCTGTCCTCCTTAAATTAGATTTTAAAAAAATTAAAATATTAGTTGTTAGCTCATAGCTAAAGATGTTATTATAACCCTCATAATAATCTTAACATTTATGAAGAACTTACTAATGGCTTTATATGCATATTTGTACTAATCTTCGCAAAGACTATGAATTGGAGACTCTTATGATTCCTGTCTTAGAGATATAGAAACTGATTGTCTAAGAGGTTAAGTACTGTGCCCAAGTGTAGACCTTTGATTTGAGGACAAGTGTGTCTTACTCTAGAGCCCATGTGAGATAATCCATTTTCCATTGCTCCAAAATGCTTAAACTTAAAAAGTACCTTAACAATAAAAAATTGGATTTCATTCAGACTTACCAGCATTTTATTTGTAGCTATAAATATAGGGTCACATTACAGACCAATATACATATATAATAAATACATGATTTTCAGACACTTTATCATTTACATTTAAGTTCACTAAAATATTTTCAGATGAAATACACTAAAATATCTACATGTATTTAGACAATATAAAATATATATGTACATACTGTGAAAATGCTTTAAAAACTTGCTTATCAAATTATACTTAGAAAAATTGTATATTCCCCAGACACAGCATTATTATTGGAAAGGAGTTCTTAAAGTTCTTGTAGTTGTGACAGCCCTCTGTGACTTAATATGTAGAGTTAATGTGAGACATTGTTACCCCATACAGAGGCTGAGGTGTCTCCAGCCTGGGGAAGAGTGAAGCACTACATTTAAGATCTCCATTGAAGTAATATAAAATACACTAGAGGACAGATAGAAGAGCTGCATAATGCAATACAGTTTTCAAATGTCCTGGCTCCAGTATATGGAACACTCTGGATCTACAAAGGTCAAATACCGGACATGTTCCTTAGGGATCATGTGATCTGTGTCATGGAGTGCTTTGGAGAGGACAACTAGAAATGTGTTCCTAATTCCAAATGAGTCATTCAAATACATTGGAGTTGATTTTTTTTTTTAAGGCAAGGACCAAAAGGAATATAACAGTATTTAGGCTCCCAGGGACTAGGGAATTTTTATTCCTTGACTTCTTCAATAACACTTCCTTGGTGTGCTTGTTTTTCCCTAGTTTTCTACTAGATTAATTTTATATTTGCTTTTGTTGTGATTTTCAGACTTTAGGCCTCTTTTCAGACCTTCGACATCGGGTTGGTATGCAGCGGAGACCATTTTTTTCTCCTAAATTAATGGATACATCAGATCTCCACCAATGTCTCATGTCACATTGCCCTCTGGAGATTGTAATGCAAGGACTCAGCTGAGGGATTTTATGGAATTTAAAAGTAATCAAATTACTGATCCTTAAGACTTATCTTTGGGCCTGAAGCAATTGCTCAGTAGTGTTCTCTTAGTGGCAGGCAGTACTGTACCTGAGATTCTACTAACTTACGCAAGTGCTTTAAAGTATAAAATGGAATACAGTTTTTAAGGTTGTTCCATCATTGTTCCTTAGTCTCAAGCAGAAGAGCTACATTTAAATCTAGGTGACTTTGACAGTACTTAATTGTGTAGAAAAGCAGCAATGGTAGTAATCTAGTAATCTCACAGGGTTTACCCTGGACTTTATTGTTAGTTGGTTAAAAACTCTTAATTATATTTAATATTCCATCAAGTGACGGATGAAGTAAAAGTCTTATTAAAGTAAAAGGCGTATTAAACCATTGGACATTTACATTGTTTACAATTTTTCACTATTGTAAATAATACATTTTTGCATACAAGTTTCTCACCATTTAGTTCCCTTAGGAGACTTCTTAATTCAAAAAGGAATTACAGGGTCAGAGAGTGTGAACAGTTTCTTTTTAAACTATTTTCTAAGCCATTTTCTAAAATAGATGTTTAATCTTGTTTGCATCAGCAATGTTTTGACAAAACTGAACTTTTAGATCTTTCTTTAAGAAATGCAAGTTTTAGGCCAGGCACGGTGGTTAACGCCTGTAATCCCAGCACTTTGGGAGGCCAAGGCAGGCAGATCACGAAGTCAGGCGATTGAGACCACCCTGGCTAACACGGTGAAACCCCGTTTCTACTAAAAATACAAAAAATTAGCTGGGCGTGGTGGCGGGCACCTGTAGTCCCAGCTACTCAGGAGGCTGAGGCAGGAGAATGGCGGGAACCCGGGAGGCGGAGCTTGCAGTGAACGGAGTTTGCGCCACAGCACTCCAGCCAAGTGAAAGTTCTGGCAGGGCGCAGTGGCTCATGCCTGTAATCCCAGCACTTTGGGAGACCAAGGCAGGCGGATCACCTGAAGTCGGGAGTTCAAGACCAGCCTGACTAACATGGAGAAACCCCATCTCTACTAAAAATAAAAAATTAGCAGGGCGTGGTGGCACATGCCTTTAATCCTAGCTACTGGGGAGGCTGAGGCAGGAGAATTGCTTGAACCTGGGAGGCGGAGTTTGCAGTGAGCTGAGATCACACCATTGCACACCAGCCTGGGCAACAAGAGCATCTCAAAAAAAAAAAAAAAGTGAAAGTTTTATCTAATTGTTTTAGTTTGAATTTCTTTAATTTACTAATGAAATTAGACATTTGCATATTTATTTTCTTTCGTGAACTTTGTCTTTTGCCAAAAATCTATTTGAGTCATAGAGATTTTCTTTGTTTTAAATGTGTTGACTCACTATAAATTTTTCTAATTTCCTGTCGTCATTTTAATCTTTTAATGAGCACTTTTTGTTAAGCAAATTATATGTATTTTTCTTATTATATTTAAGCTCATAAAATCCTGTCACACATTGCCAAAGTACACTATTTACTTTTGTTTCATAGAGTTTTTGTTCCTTAGGCACAAGTGAGACTAGTTTCCTTGGCAATTAGTGTTGCTTATGACAGCCTATAAGTCTCAGCAATTTACTGTTTATATAACTATTTAAATTACTGTTTAAATAACTATTTATATAAAAATGCAATATCTTCCCAATTAAAGTAAATTCAGGCTGATTTTTTCCTTTAAACTATGTGGAAATAATAACTATAAAATTGTTTCCTGGGCCATCTAAAATTGTTCCTGGAGTTATCTGTGTAAAAATTACCCCATCAGTATGTGATATTTTGCTAAGATAATAGCAGTCCATAAAACAGAATATGTATGTTTTCCTAAACTTTCCTCTTTTTCCTTTTAGAATTTTATAGAATCTTCTGTCACACTGTTTGAATCTGACCTAGAAAGTGGGAAGTTTATTGACATTACAAATCAGGAAATTTCTGATTTGGAAGAAATTGGCTTTGGCAGTAAAACAAGATCCATTCATGTTAAAAGTGGAGTGTAAGTTGCCCCCTCCTCTAAGAACCTTGAGAGGAGAGTCTTTGGTATTTAAAATTGTTGTTTGCTCAATTGTATATCACTTGTTTTTATGTTTTTGTTTTTTCTTTTTTCCCTACTAGATGGGTTGCCTACCAGCAAAAGTTCTTCTGTGGAGAACAGTACATTTTAGAAAAAGGGAAATACAAATGCTTTTTTGACTGGGGAGGATCAAGTAATATAATCATGTCGATACGACCAATCCAACTGGTGAGCGAAGTGTAAATATAGCCAATGCTGCATCATGTAATAGTATGCAATTGAACATGTGGAAAACACTTTTTAAAAGTGGAGTTGTTGAATGATGTCATGTGTGTATATAGAAAGAAAATGCAATAGCAATTGAATTTCTATAGACTCCATAGAGAGTAGTAGATATTAACACATGAACGAGATGACTTCATAATTTGATCAGTTCATTCACTTAACAGCATTTATTTAATGTCTCTGATGTGTTGGACACTATGCTAATCACTGGAGATAAGAATTGAATAAGACTGTCCTGATGGTTCTCTGTCTCCCAGAGGAGATAGATGTATGGACAATTAATGGTAGTATGATTAGTGAGAAAATGAAGTGTGTAGGCAGTGCAGGGGAGCAGGGAAAGGGAACACTCAGTGCCTGGGGAATTGAAGACCTTGCCTCAGAATAGGATGTATTGGTGAATTGAGTGATAGTGTAAAGGATAAAAGCAATTTTTCTAGGCAGAAAGGGCATTTCACAAAGAAGGAATAATCTCCTTGTTTTGCAAATTCATGAAGTTGTAGAAGAGTGTGGCCAGTTTGGATAATAAACCCTGCAGAACAATAAGAGTGCCCATGAAATAATGTTCAGAAATTCACACTCCTTCTTTGTAATGGGCACTAGGCCATATTTTTCTTCCACCTACAATATTACTTAAAAGTGAATTAGTTATAAATACTAAAATTATTATAAGAGAATTCAGTAGGTTATTTGAGAGCCATAGCCAATTCAAAGAGTCTCATAAATAGGTCAAACCATCAAAAAATTTTTTCAAGCTGGTTGCAGTGGCACAGGTGTGCAATCCCAGCACTTTGGGAGGCCAAGGTAAAAGATCGCTAAAGCCTAGTAGTTTGAGACCAGCCTGAGCAACACAGTGAGACCTCCTCTCTACAAAAAATAAGCAAAATTAATTGGGCGTGGTGGCACATGACTGTAGTCCCAGCTACTTGGGAGGCTGAGTTGGGAGGATCGCTTGAGCCCTGAGGATCAAGGGTGCAGTGAGCTGGGACTGTGTCACTGTACCCCAACCTGGACAACAGAGGAATACTCTCTCAGAAAAGCAAGGGAAAAAAAAAAGAAAAAAAAATTTTTTTCAAAGGATATTTTCAAAACTTTCAAAAAGACAACTAAGATTATGTGATTACAATTTTGAAAATGTTTTAATATGTTTTCAGGAACCACTTGGGATAAATGAACCTCCGCATTTGGTATGTTTTAAAATATTCTTATAATTGTTAAATTGTTTACTAAAAGCATTTATACCCTTTCTCTCAAATATTTCTCTTTTCTGCAGATAACTTTTATGTGTCTCTCTGGCAGAGCAGATTATATTGCACTTGGTATCTATGAGTAGAAGAATTTACATCTTTGTCAGTGGTTGTATTAAACTGGGTTTGTCACACTTCCTTTTGTTTTCTCCTGAGAGAGCTGTAGCTCTGACCACTTTAGGGTCATTTTGAACTTCTGGCACTCTTTCTTTCCCATTGTCCATTCTTTCTTCAGTGTCACATTCTTCATAGAATATTATATTTATCTCTGGAAGAGCAAACTTACCATGGAAAAGTCACTGTCTTAGCATGCTTGTTATGTACATGTATTTCTAATACCTATAATCAAATATTTCTGAGCTAGTGAACTTGAAACCCTATATTCATTTCTACTGTATTAATGGTTTAAAGGGAACTGGACAATACTTTGGAGCCCAACATTTGTTTATTTTCTACTGAGGGCTAGAAATTGTACCTATTTAACATTTCTAATAAGTCCATAAGGTCAGTATTACTCCCATTTATAGATAATAAATCTGAGATTCAGAATTTAAGTAAGTGCCATATACACAACTAGAAGTAGCAAAAGAGACGTTTCTAGTATGGACCACACTTGACAAAACCACATGTTCAGGGTTTTACATCAAATGAAGACATAATCGTGATACGAGCAGTACAACTATAGAAGGAAGAGGGGGTGAGAGACGTTGCTTCCTTTGTCAGAAAAATTGTTGTCAAAAAGCCAAATATAGTGATTACTTTTAAATATTTGGCATTTGCTGCCATTACATAATGCTCAGTGTTTTTCTCTGAATGTGTATGTTTTTCATATTCATGTCAGTGTTTATTTCAGACCAGCTTAGTTTAACCATGTTTCCATTCACAATGCTTTTGGGTTTTATTATTTTCTGATTAGCTCAGGCCTATTGGGAACATTTCCTTTCTGAATATAATTGAGTTGTTGTATTTAGAGACACTTCCTGCCAGATTTTTATTTTGAAATTTTGAAAACTCCCAACTGTGGATTTTTAAAGTGTTTTTTCACATGAATCAAAACAACATGAGTAGATAGAAGAAAGAGAAATTATTTCAAACTGCGCATTTTTTGAGTTCTAAGTACAGATAAAAAGCCTCGTTTTTTTAATCTCTGTTTCTCCTGCTCCTACCTCCTTGTTCTTTTTTTTATGGACTTCCTTGTTTGGGGCAGATTGCTGGGAGAATTTTCTTTATAGTATTTCCAGTCTAACTGGAAGAGAGGAAGCTGCAGAAAACGCCCAGTGAAATCAGCTCCACTTCATTTTTCTGGGTATGGCTAAGGTATTGCCTTGTGGAATAAGCATTTCTGACAGGTGTATGATAACTGGATATTTAGTAACACATGAACAAAACATTCTTAGTTTACCCAGTATCAAAGGTCTTGTTATTTTCAGTGGATCAAATTTTCAGACATTCTTCTTGTGTATACTTTCTTAAAACAGATCTTGGCTGACACGCTGGTTCTGGTTCAATAACTAGAAAGTATTTTCAACAGGCAGTAGTTACAACAGTCAGATTGGCAATACAGATGCTGTGTTCAGATGGGGTACTAATTTTCCCTGAGGAATGAGGAGGAAGTTTCATTTCAGAGCTCAAGTCAGAGAGGGAATTTTTTTATGCTGGTGATTTTAAGGGGAACCTCAAGCAACCTAAGAGGGGAAAAGCCAGAAAATGTAGGTGTATAGGGATTAGTATACATTATGAGTGTTATGATGATTGAAAATATTGTTAATGACTGTTCTGGAAACATATCATGAGGAGATGTGGCTTATTTGAGATATTGGTGGAACGCCACCTTTTGTTTTTTAATTTTATTTTTTGTTTTGGGATTAGGAAAGTTTTATTTTGTTTTAATTTTTTTGTCTTTATTTCTTCTTAAAAATAGAAGGGAGGGATACATGTACAGAACGTGCCGGTTTGTTACATAGGTATACGTGTGCCATGGTGGTTTGCTGGACCTACTGACCAGTCCTCTAAGTTCCCTCCTCTCACCCCTCACTCCCCAGCAGGCCCTGGTATGTGTTGCTCCCTTCTCTGTGCCCATATGTTCTCAATGTTCAACTCCCACTTATGAGTGAGAACATGCAGAGACCACCACCTTTTATTGAGAAGATTTTTTTTTTCTGAAGGCTGAAGCTTGGTCATTATGTCTAATTAGCAACTCAAGATATATAGGATCGCTATAGAATTCTTCACTGTTAGCAAGTGACATTTTTTTTTTTTAAATTTCCCTCCCAAACAAAAACCAAACAGAATATGTATTATCTGCATATCGTCATCATCTCTCTTACCACAAGTCCTGAATACTGGAATCTAGTACTAGATTAAATCTTGTAACAGTGAATTTAGTTTTCAGAGGCGGTTGTAGTTAGGCATCATTCTCTAGAAATTCTAACCAGTTCTCCCCTTTGACTCAGCCAAGTACTTTTTGTTTCTAGAATCTTTTTAAAGCCCATTTCCAGATATAATTAAATGTTTGGATTTATTTAAATATTGAGCCCCTGTTCCATTTTATGCATGATTCTCACCAAGAAAAACAACTAGGTATTTTCTTATATTGGATAATTTAGCCTCACTGAATTTTAAAGTGATCACAGGATCTGTAATAATTGTTGCTACTGTTTTCATGTATGGGGGATAGGAAAATGACAGCTTTAGGCAAATACAGTAAGATTTATAAGCAGTAAAGAGAAAACACTTCTTTGTGGCACTTTAACCAGATCATTTTTATAGGAGCCAAATCACAGAAATACTTAGGAAGAATTATTTCAGTAAAGAAAACCTTTATGATTAATAAGGGAAATGAAATCATTGTATAATATATAACCAATATGATAAATATATAACACTACAGTATGAGAAAGATGTGATGTAATAGAAGAATAGAAACAAGACTTTTCCTTAATAATCAACATATTTCTATGAGGGAGGCTCAGAGGGCTAGAGAAAGTCTTGTTTAGACAGGGAAGAAAGTTTCTCATAGAAATTATTTTAGTATTGGAGTAAGTAAAATTACATTAAAAATAATGCTGATATTGTAGAATAAGCAAGCATAGCTTCTTGTTTTGTCAGTAGTTCACTGCATTTTTAGTTTGTCATATTATATTAAAGATATATATTACCACATATTGTTAGCATATATTATAAATGAAAATTATGTAGCAACAAGAATTTCTGTGAAATCTTCATAATATAGTAGAGCTAATTTCTGCTCAAATGGTAGTTCTATGAAAGAAGTACGATAATATATGTGAAAAGCAAACCAGAGGGATACTTTTTTTCCTTCACTTCTATTTCTAGTTGGGGAGCTGTTAGGGATTGAGCCATACCAACGTGGCACAGAAGGATGGGTATAGTTTGGAAAACACTCATCTCTTGTTTGTCTATTTGCCTTGGTTTTAAGCAACCTGAGTTGTTTTGTATATTTGTTATCCATTGTTCTGTAAAGGAAGCCAACATGGTCATTTATCCAGCTAGTTTTTCCAAGGACTTAATTTCTCCAAGGCTCGGTCACTTAATTTCACCAAGAGTAGAAACCACAAGTTAATTATTATAATCAGTAAGCTCAGAGTTGGTTTCTATATGGTCAATCCTCAGAACATTATCATGAGAATTGTTCTGTCTTGAGGATTGATAAGGTGATCAAAATGAGGTATATTTTTGTAGAGTTGGTCTAATTCTGGGTGAATCATATACCGTATCCCATCTAGTAAACTCAGATAAGCATTTAACCCAGTTTTTAAAGTTTGGATAAAGACTATCTTAACCCATCAAATCAAGAGATACTTTATAACATTATTTCTGCATGTATATATGGATTTTAATTAATTTTTCTGGCTATGAAGACTGAGACAAAAAACTGGAGGTGGCTACTATATATACCATCTGAAATATGCTTCACTGGCATTATCAGTAGTCCAGGATTTGATGTTTCATGGCTTCATTGTGAAAATGGTGAAGTATAAATCTTCAATTCATCAGTATACAACTAGTTAACTGGGAATGTAGTTAGTGAGCAAGACAACATGTCTCTCTTCTCATGTGGCTTTTCTTTAATTTTTATTAAGAATTTCCATGCAGGAGAAATTTCTCTGCATTTTTTGGAGGTTAAAAGTGATTTGCTTTTTAGCCTCGCATTTTATATATGTCTTTAAGTTAAAAAACCTAAGTATGTCTTGGTTTGGACTTCATTTCTTTGCTATCCTCTGTATCTGCTACAAGGACTACAACAGAAACTTGCTGGATCACATCTCCTTAAGGCAAGAAGTCCCTTGATGTTTTAATGCTCCAAATACAGCGTGGTTTCACAGTAGGAAGTGGTGTTGTACAAGCCACAGATGATCATGGGGAATTAGTTTTCTCACCTCCCTGATTTTGACTGATCTTTGACAACAGATCCAGTAAGGCCAGAGCAGAATGAGATAACCAAGAAACCATTCTTCTAAGAAAAGGCCTTTGGGAAGACGAGGGAGGTGAACATTAGCTGCTCAGACTAGCCTTATCCTCGATGACAGCACGAGCAGATGGTCTGTTATGATGTGTTCTGTGCCCTAGTGCAGGCCTGTCAGTGCAGAGTGGACCTGTGGGCCATGTTGTTCCAAGTCTCCAGTGTATTATGAAATTTTTATGGGCTCTTTAATTTTTTTCATTCCTATTGTAGATTCAAGGCTACTAGAGTTGTAGATTATTATATATCTGGTCTAAAGGGAATTACAGTTGAGATTTCATGGATTTTTTCTCGACAAAATTGACTAAAGTAGAAATGTAGTTGTATATAACTATAAGCTGCACATTTAAGGTATTCTTATCAGAAAACCGAAGCCTGTAAGCTGAAATACATGACACAGATATCTTTCTTTCTTCACCATAAATCTTCCACTAATCCCATCATTATTATCTCCTCTGCCATCTGCTCATGTGCCCTCCTGGGTACTCTTCATGCTTGCTTATGGGCATGCGCTCGTGCTCTCCTCTTCTCCTTATATTAACTGTGGATCAGGAAGAGCTAGGGAGAGAAGCATCTAACCATGTAGCCTTATACTAATCTAAGCCTCTTTCATGTTTAGCACTAAATTTCTTCTTATTTTATACATCTAGTCTCAACATAAGGCACAGTGATTGTTTGAGAGAATAAAGGACCACATGTTAGTGGAGGAAGGACTCTAATGTATTCTTTTATAGGCAGAATTGTTTTCTAGGCCTCTGTTCCCACAATTTGGTGGAAGAGAGGCAAGAAAATGGTAAACAAACAGTGACGTTCCATTTCTGAAAACACGTAAGAAAGCAAGTTTAAGGAGCGTATCATTATCCCTAATATGAATTCATTGATAATAGATAAAACATGAGTCTGATATTTCGCTACATTTTATAAATTCATGAAATTAAAGGTTTTTATTTGCTTGTGATCATCTAAGACCATTTTTTTTCTGTTTAACTGTTGTGGTGGTGTTCTTGTAGCTCAAAGTATTCAGTAAACCAGGGTTCCAAGGTGAATGTATAGATTTTACAGAAGAAACTTCTGATTTGACTTCACTCATACCATGTTCTTTTAAAGTTCTTCGAGGTTGGTAAGTATGCTTACTTAGTGTTTTCTGCTGTTATTTAATAACTAATGTTTTTAAATTTACAGAGATATATTTTTTGCATGCACAGTGAATCTTTAAAATTTATCTTCAACAGGCATTGGTTACCTGCTAACTGATCTATATTAATTTTGCTTAATTTGTATTTTGAGCTATGATGGAATACAGAAAAGCAGAATGCTGATTAACCAACTTAGGGAACATTTTGATTTTTGTCTCTCACTGTGATCTTAGATTATTTCCTAAATATTTTGAATGTTTACATTGTATATTTACTGTCTCACACAGTAGAATGCGATAAAAATACCTGGTGTTTTTTAAAGTAAGACATATTAATCCTAATTTTTTTAGCCTTTTAACGAAGTGTTCATCATCCCCCTTTCACAGATGTGGAAACCAGGTTCAGAGTTAGGGTTTCCCAAGATCACATACCAAATTTCAGACCCATGATTCCTTTGGTCTTTTTTTCTCATCTCTGAATCGGATATTCTTCCAATTGCAACAATATACTGTATATTTTTCACATGTATATGAAACTACATGTGATTCTCACAGCTAAAATATATTCTACAAATTTTTTATTGTGCTAAAATATACGTAACATAAATACCATTTTAACAATTTTTCATTGTACAGTTCAGTGGCATATCTATGTATCAAACATCTACCTAGCAACCTATCAAAGTCTCTTTTCTTCCTTTAAAATATATTAGGTTTGTCAGGTTTCCTCCCTTCTCCCTTGAATCATTAGAGACCTGGGCCTTCTATTTTTCACTTCAAAAACTTCAGTCTCTTAGCTACCCCCTGTTTCAGTGTCATCTAATTTCTAGTGTTTACCCCAAACAAATCACGGTCCAATTATGTGTCCCAAAATCCAGTTTAATATTTTTGCTAATGCTTTAATTCCCAGCCATTTTCTAGTACCAGTCCAATCAAGTTCAAGCTCTTTCTTTTCCTGACCTTACCATCAACTAGCCTCCTTTTCCTATCCATTTCCCATCCTATTCTCTTTTCTAACATTTGCTTTCCTCCATACCCTCTATACCGGGGGTCAGCACACTTTATAAAGAATCAGATAGTGAATATTTTTGACTTTGTGGGTTCCACAGGCTCTCAACACTCTCTCAACACTGCTATTAGACATAGCACAAAAGCAGCCATATACAATACACAAACCAATAGGCACAGCTGCATTCCAATGAAACATTATTTATGGACATTGACATTTTAATTGTATGTAACATTTACATGTCATGAAATAGTCTTCTTTTAAAATTTTAAGCCCTCTGAAAATGTGAAAACCAGTCTTAGCTTATGGGCTGTTGGAAAACAAGCAGTGGGGCAGATTTGGCCCACATGCTGTAGTTTACTGATGCCTGTTTCATACCAAAGGTTGAAGGTCTATGGTAAATCTAGCCAGCAGGTGTCATTTGTTTGGGTTATACGCTAGGTTAAAAAAATTGTATTAATACAATTTTTACAAATGTAATACATTAATACAAATGTAAGTATTAATACTTACATTTAGGATATTTTTCAGAAGAAGCTGTTTTCCACCTTCTCTTTAAAAATCAGAAGATTTTACGACTTGGAGAAAGCTTTTGCCTTTGTCAGTAATTAGCTGGTAGTGAGTAGATTGCATATGTGCTTTCCAGCATACTATAATCACCACTATTCCCAATTTTTTTCCACCTGGTACACTACTCAAATCTGCATTACCTGTGTGGTCTCCTGAAGGTATATAAGTTTGTGACCTCTGCTTAATAATAATTCAGATATATCCTTTAAGGTTCAGTCCACTCCATTATTTCTGTTCACCTTCTTGATTAACCCTAAATCAAGCAGTCCTTTCCTTCTCCTATTTCCTATAGCTCTTCTGCCTTGAGCCTCCTTGTATTTGTTTTTGTTTATATACTTACCTCTGAAAAGGAAATGTGAGTTTTACAACATTAAAACACAAAGTAGGGCACAATAAGTTAAATAGAGATCTGCAACTCTAATAAGAAATAAACACACACACACACACACACACATGCACACACACACCAAGGACCTGAAATAATTTTGTTACTATTATTTGGCTCTGAGTTCCTTCTCCACTAAGATAGAAGAAAATATTTTACAAGATTTAGGATCATTGTCTGTTAATGAGAAACACTGAAGTTTTTCTGGAGGAAAATGTATTTTTCTTGACACTGAATAATAGGACAAACGAGTCACACGTCTTTTCATGTAGGAAATATACAACAGCAGGATAAAAGAATACAAGAACTATGACAATTGTGTAAGCACCTGGAATGTGTGAGAGACCTGGATTTGAGCCCAGTTCCACCATTTTCTAGCTATGTAACTTTAGGCAAAATGAGTCATCTCTCTGAACCTCAGCTTTCTCATCTGTAAAGGAGGAGTAATAATGGTATCTACCTCAGAGGTTTCTTACAAGGACTAAATAAAATAATGCACTAGCTTTATGCCTGGCACACTAGAAACCTTTGATAAATGTTGACTATGAAATGCTTATTACAGTAGAAGACCTGACAGTAAATATAATGTCACACAGCATTTCTACGGTTATCCAAAGTTAAACTGGTCTGGCAAGAGTACAGTTCTGGTGATCTTAAAATACAGGGCTAGAACTTAACCACACCAAAACTAAATTAGTAACAGTCATGTAATTTTTCCCTTGGGCTCATTCTTTTCAAAAGGGTGTGTGTTTAGCTATCTTTTGATGAATACTGTATTGAAGATAACTCACTATTGAAGATTCTAAGGGGTTTATTTCTTTTTAAAATTTTCTATTAGTTGTCAGATTTGTAGGTGACAGGTTTTATATACTCTTGTGTGATTTTAAAAAAAATCTGTCTTCTATACTCATCTAAACTGAATAAAAACATTTTTAATTTTTCCCAAAAAGAGCTTATAATCTGTTCAGGTACTTAATAATCACCCTGATCTAATCCCAGAGTGCTATACATGAAGGCACTAAATAAAAAGAATGTCTTTAGCTTATAGCATACATCGTCTCATTTCAAACTTCATCTCTACCATTGAGTAGATTGAGGAACCATGGGAAAATCACCTTACCTTTCTGATCTTTACTTTTGCTGCCTATAAAAATGAGGATGTTCCTAACTCATAGAATTATTAAGGACACCATGAAATAGTATATGTAAAGTGCCTAGCCTAATGCCTGGTGCATCATAAGCAGTCGAGGAATAATAGTGGTAGCTGTTGTGTGTGGTGTTTTTTTTTGTTGTTGTTGTTTTTAAGCTGGTGTGGTGGTGCTCTGCACCACTTTCTATGCCCTACCCCTACACCAGTTCCCACAGCAAAATAATGAGCCTATACTGCCAAGTGAATGCAATTTGACTGAATGTTTTACTGCTTGGCTTTTAGCTGGCTCCTCTATTACCAAGAAGACGTGTTTGTTAATCACTGTGTGCTAGAAGAAGGCCTCTATGCTGACCTTACTTCCTGCGGTTGCCCAGCATCTAAAGTCAAATCTCTCAAGCCCATTGACTATGTAAGTACTTTGCAAAATGCATACTTACAAGACTCTTTTCCTTGTCCAGTTTAATTACCACCAATGATAATGTGAAGTTGGAAGAAATGATAAAAGCAGAAATAGCAAAATCTGAAAAATATGAATAATTCATTTGTCAACTGTAAAACTGAGGTTCACTCATGAAATCCAACCAAAATGTAATATTGATATTCTTTTTTTAAAAAAAGCAGGGGTGTAAAACTCAAGAATTAGAATAATGTAGGCCTTGACTTAACTCCCAGTTTGATACTTTAATCAATTTGAGTGACACTGGCAAAGTTACTTGGCTTACCCATCTATAAAAATAAAATAATAACAATAGTACTTACAAGGCCACAGGGATATTAAATGAGATGATGCTTATAAAGTGCACAGCATATGGTGAGTTCTCATTTAAATGTTAGCTATTAGTCCCATGGTGGTTGTTATTATAGCTGCTTAAGTATAAAAATAACCTGACCACTTTATTATTCTACTAGGTAAGTCACATGACAGTTTGTCTGCTACTAAGGTAGCAGATTCTAAATTCAAACCTGTTTTGGGGAACAGGGCCTTTCTGTCTGGTGTGTGCAAAATGATCTGGGTCACCTTGGAGGCCCATATTTACAGAGTAAGTAGGTCTTCCTTTCCACCACATTTATTTAGAATTTCAAATGTGAGAAAAATGGGATCCCAACTCCAGGACATCAATTCTGGACCCCTGGTCAATAGGATCTGTGCAGAGGAGGTAGTGAGGATCTTGGATACTTTCAAGATATCTAGTTATGACAATTCCTTGGCAATATGTTTGGTCAAAGCTTCAGTTTTACACAGAGCTGATTAGAAACTCTACCTAATAGTAGTAGTGACTCAAACCTTTCTGTCAGAGCTGACTCCAGGGATAATGGCCAGGATCTTTGATCTCAACCTAAGCAATGTAGTCCTATTTCACAAGGCATTCCTGGATAGAGTATTCTTGGTATCAGACTAATTATAGAGTCTTGGCTGAGAACAAGAATATAAATAGTGTTCTTGGTCTCTCTCAATGGCTCTGTAGACACCAACATGGAAAAAATAAGTGGCTACTAACACTTCTTGTCTGTTGGAGGAAAACTGGTTTAAAAATATATGTATACATGATCTGGCAAGTCTCTGCAGGCTTTGATAATGCTGGAAAAGACACTGGAAGGTAGTAGTCCACATTTACTGGAAAGCGATTTTTTAAACAATTTTTAGTGGCCAAATCAGCAGACAGATACTTATTTGGTGTTAACTCTAAAAGCAAAAGATAGAGGTCTAAATTTGAAAGTATCATCCCGAAAGGATTTTGTACAACTCTTAATTCAGTGAACTAAACCAACAAAATTTCTAGGGAGGGCATTTTAGAAGCAGGGTCAAAATTAATTAGTGTTACTGTTTTTCTTTGAAGGGTTATAATTCCTTTAGATTCATGAAGTGTAAAATGAAAAATTGGGGATTAAAATAAACAGAGATTTTTTCATGTAAGTTGTCATGTGGAGTTGCATGTCCCTAGTTTTGGTCCTGTGGAACCCAGGCAGCATAAGCGAAGGCGCCTATTGGGAAGGACTTGAAATCTATAGACGTTTCACTTCAAGAACGGGTTAAAGAGTATATTCAGTTTATGTAAGGGTAGCACGTTAGTTATCTTAATGCCATTCATAATATACTGAAAATATTTGAAACATCTTTTGCGAAGATGTGTTACAGCAGCAGGTTTGGTGTTGAAATGGGAGGAGCATGAGGGAGGTTGGATATCCTACAAAGATCTGCAGATTGACCACGAAGACACCTCAACAGGGATCACACCTAGGGAGATTGATATGTTAAACCAGAAGGTCAATTTAGTATTTTGTAATAAGTGGATTCTAGTGACTGGAATGCTCGAGAATTCTGTCCTGGGCATTTTTTCCCCTCTCTGGAAAAACAAGGGAAACTGAATTAGTCATCGGGAGGTTATTTGTTGAGCATAAGATTTGGGTAAAATAGGGTAGATGTCTTGCGATTAGCCTGTAGGCTAACGTTCCTCCCAAAAGACAGTCCTTTCACTATCTAGGTCCCAGTTGCTCACACCCTCTAGATTCTGTCTCATTTCCCTGGACAGTGCTAGATACACTATCTATTCTGCTTCTCTCATTAATTCTGATTCTTTCTGTGATTCTCCCCACTATCTTTGTACTTAGGAATTGATATGCCTTTTTTCTTAGATTTCCTAATACTGCTGCCTATGCCACAATCCAGTGTAATTCTGGATTCATTCTAGGAAATGTTTCTGTGTAATTAAGTTGACATTATGTACGTACGAGGTAATCCTTTGCTTTCGCTTTTATTAGTTAAAACTGCAGAATTCGAGGGACGTTGCCTGCAGTTGGTATTGCCAGACATGCTATGGCTTGGTGCTTCAGTGTCACAATGGTATCATATTGAGGAGTCTTAAGACTTCATCTTCGTAGAAGATAAGTATATTTTGAAGATGACAGTTTGCTCCAGGCAAACTTCTGTTGGTACAGGTGAAGGTAACATTCTAGAGGGCTGTCAACACATAATTTGCAGTGTTGCAGTCATTTTATAATGAATGGAGCTAGGAGCGTAGTTCATAGTTCTGCGTCTAACTAACATGACCTTAGGCAAATCTCTTAATTTATCTGTATCTCAGTTAATTCTTCTGTAAAGAAACTGTTAGAACAGGTATTTTCAAATATTGGACAGCCTCCAGTTCTGTTGCAAATAAGTATCCTCGTCATATTTCTAATTGGATGTGAAAAAGAATTTATCCGGCTTTAGGATTCACAAGGTCAGAGGGAATAATAAGATCATGTATTAACTTTCACAACAGTCTCCAGAGTCATAGTGGTTGAAAACATATGTTCATTTCATTTTCATATTTTGTCTCAAAATGGCAAGACAGTTGCATGGCCTCCACTTTAGGCTTGTGAGTTGGATTTAGATACACTTTTGATATTTGCTTTGCATTGGGACCAAGCTAATGGGAGCACCTCCAATTGGGGACATGACTATTTTCATGACAGGGGAAAGAGGGAGCAAGGTCACAATCACAGAGTCACATTTGAAGCTTCTGCTCAGATTCATTTTACCCATGCACACATCATTGTGTCCACTCATATTCTGTTTCCAAAAGCAAGTCATTAGACCAAGCCTGACATAAATGGGGCAGGGGAATAGACTCTCACTTGGGCAGGGATGAAGTTGACAAAGTATATTCAAACAATAATACAATCTACCAGAGATGTATAAACTCATAGAGGTATTCTCTATTACTATATTTCGGAGAAAATGAAAAGAGATGAAATTGTAATAATTTCTCTCTGCTACTGTAACAGAGCTAACTTCCTTTTAAAAACTTGAGATTAATTTTTAGTGACAGTCTGGAGGTGGTTTGGTGGCTGTCAAATGAAGTATATGGTAGACAAGTAGAAAAGTCTGCCTCAGAATATGGTCCCCAGTTCTCTTTCAAAATTCATTTAGAATTCTAAAATCATCAGGTAATTTAATATAGGGAAATTTAATTTAATCATACTAAGACAGCTCTATGTAAGCATCTGGGAAAAATAATAAATTAAGTGGCCTAGAATTAGGAAAGTGAACTAAGACCCAGAGTTTTTATCAGGCTCTTCACAGAGATATAATTATATATCTGGAAAAATTACATGTATAATAAAATGCCTAAATATCTATCTCAAAACATGGTGAATTGGTTTCCATTGACTTCTCTTTAAGGTTTTCAGTAGCCTTGGTTTGGTAATGTCTTGACTGCTTAACAGTGATTACAAGCAGACCTTTTAAGATGAAAAAGATTGAATATCATGCCTAAGGAAGTTTAAGTGTTTTGTGGGGGCTGAAACCAAAGCCTTCTATATTTAGGAGTAGTCATACCGGGTGTGAAAGGGCAATAAAATGATTTTTTTTAAAAAAAAACGCCTAAGATGATGCTTGGGGCATTGGTGTAGAGTTCTGTGAATGAAAAACACATCTGATTAGTAATTTTGTAGAAGAAAGTTTAAAGGTATTCTATTTTGCTTTGATCAAAGAAAAAAACATGTAAGGTGGCTGAATTATTTCTCCCATCTCAGCCTCCGAAGTAGCTGGGACCACAGGTGTGCACCACCATGTCTGGCTAGTTTTTGTGGTTTTTTGGTTGAGATGGGGTTTCACTGTGTTGCCCAGGCTGGTCTGAAACTCCTGGGCTCAAGCAGTCCACCTGCCTCAGCCTCCCAAAGTGCTGGCATTACAGGTGCAAACCACTGCACCATCCAGCTGAATTATTTATATAAATATCACAAATGCTGCAGAATAACACCATTGCTGAAGATGCATTTTATATTTATTCAATCGAAAGTATTGAACACGTGCTCTTTACTAAATACTGTGCTAAGTACTGAATATGAATAAAAAAAGAATTAGCGTAACAAACTCATCAAGTCTAAATGTTATTTGATTCTTACTCTTGGCCTCTCAAGTGTAGATGTTTCTCACATACCTATTCTTGGCCCTTCCTCTCCTGTACTTAGAAATTTTCATTATCATAAAGATGATTCGCATTTGCAGATATCTAGAGTAAGCAGTACTCAGTTATTCCCTGAGCTTCATTCGCAGATTCCACATGGGTCTTCAGCATGTTTTGTCAGCATCCCATTTTCTCTCATAGACTTGTTCTTCTTTTCTGCCCTGTTTCTGTTGAAAGCAATCATCCTTACTCCCTCCCCACCTTTTTTTAGACTGAGTTTGGCTCTGACACCTAAGCTGGAGTGCAGTGGCACAATCTTGGTTCACCGCAACCTCCGCCTCCCAAGTTCAAGGAATTCTCGTGCCTCAGCCTCCCAAGTAGCTGGGATTACAGGCACGTGCTACCACTCCCAGCTAATTTTTGTATTTTTAGTAGAGACGGGGTTTCACCATGTTGGCCAGGCTGTTCTCAAACTCCTGATCTCAAGGGATCCGCCCACCTCGGCCTCCCAAAGTGC